CATGATGTCAAGGATGTGCAAGATATGCCTCATGTTTTGGAGGTTGGTATCTTTATGTATGATGGCAAGGATGTGCAGGACATGTCTCACGTCTTGGAGGTGGGTATCTTTATGTATGATGTCAAGGATGTGCAGGATATGCCTCATGTTTTGGAGGTGGGTATCTCTATGTATGATGGCAAGGATGTGCAGGACATGTTGCGAGTGTTGGAGGTGGGTATCTTTATGTATGATGGCAAGGATGTGCAGGACATGTCTCACGTCTTTGAGGTGGGTATCTTTATGTATGATGGCAAGGATGTGCAGGACATGTCTCATGTCTTGGAGGTGGGTATCTTTATGTATGATGGCAAGGATGTGCAGGACATGTCTAGCGTCTTGGAGGTGGGTATCTTTATGTATGATGTCAAGGATGTGCAGGACATGTCTCGCGTCTTGGAGGTTGTGATGATGATATCTTTATGCATGATGTCAAGGATGTGCAGGACATTCCTCATGTCTTGGACGTGGGTATCTTTATGTATGATGGCAAGGATGTGCAGGACATGTCTAGCGTCTTGAAGGTGGGTATCTTTATGTATGATGGCAAGGATGTGCAGGATATGTCTCATGTTTAGGAGGTGGGTATCTTTATGTATGATGGCAAGGATGTGCAGGACATGTCTCATGTCTTGAAGGTGGGTATCTTTATGTATGATGGCAAGGATGTGCAGGACATGTCTCATGTCTTGGAGGTGGGTATCTTTATGTATGATGGCAAGGATGTGCAGGACATGTCTCATGTTTTGGAGGTGGGTATCTTTATGTATGATGGCAAGGATGTGCAGGACATGTCTCGCGTCTTGGAGGTGGGTATCTTTATGTATGATGTCAAGGATGTGCAGGACATGTCTCGCGTCTTGGAGGTTGGTATCTTTATGTATGATGGCAAGGATGTGCAGGACATGTCTCACGTCTTGGAGGTGGGTATCTTTATGTATGATGGCAAGGATCTGCAGGACATGTCACGCGTCTTGGAGGTGGGTATCTTTATGCATGATAGCAAGGATGTGCAGGACATGTCTCACGTCTTGGAGGTTGGTATATTTATGCATGATGGCAAGGATGTGCAGGACATGTCTCGCGTCTTGGAGGTTGTGATGATGATATCTTTATGTATGATGTCAAGGATGTGCAGGACATGTCTCATGTCTTGGAGGTGGGTATCTTTATGTATGATGGCAAGGACGTGAAGGACATGTCTCGCGTCTTGGAGGTGGGTATCTTCATGCTTGATGGCAAGGATGTGCAGGACATGTCTCATGTCTTGGAGGTTGTGATGATGATATCTTTATGCATGATGTCAAGGATGTGCAGGACATGTTGCGTGTGTTGGAGGTGGGTATCTTTATGTATGATGGCAAGGATGTGCAGGACATGTCTCACGTCTTTGAGGTGGGTATCTTTATGTATGATGGCAAGGATGTGCAGGACATGTCTCATGTCTTGGAGGTGGGTATCTTTATGTATGATGGCAAGGATGTGCAGGACATGTCTAGCGTCTTGGAGGTGGGTATCTTTATGTATGATGTCAAGGATGTGCAGGACATGTCTCGCATCTTGGAGGTGGGTATCTTTATGCATGATGTCAAGGATGTGCAGGACATGTCTCGCGTCTTGGAGGTTGTGATGATGATATCTTTATGCATGATGTCAAGGATGTGCAGGACATTCCTCATGTCTTGGAGGTGGGTATCTTTATGTATGATGGCAAGGATGTGCAGGACATGTCTAGCGTCTTGAAAGGTGGGTATCTTTATGTATGATGGCAAGGATGTGCAAGATATGGCTCATGTTTTGGAGGTGGGTATCTTTATGTATGATGGCAAGGATGTGCAGGACATGTCTCATGTCTTGAAGGTGGGTATCTTTATGTATGATGGCAAGGATGTGCAGGATATGTCTCACCTCTTGGAGGTGGGTATCTTTATGTATGATGGCAAGGATGTGCAGGACATGTCACGCGTCTTGGAGGTGGGTATCTTTATGTATGATGGCAAGGATGTGCAGGACATGTCTCACGTCTTTGAGGTGGGTATCTTTATGTATGATGGCAAGGATCTGCAGGACATGTCTCATGTCTTGAAGGTGGGTATCTTTATGTATGATGGCAAGGATGTGCAAGATATGGCTCATGTTTTGGAGGTGGGTATCTTTATGTATGATGGCAAGGATGTGCAGGACATGTCATGCGTCCTGGAGGTGGGTATCTTTATGTATGATGGCAAGGATGTGCAGGACATGTCTCACGTCTTGGAGGTGGGTATCTTTATGTATGATGGCAAGGGTGTGCAGGACATGTCTCGCGTCTTGGAGGTTGTGATGATGATATCTTTATGCATGATGTCAAGGATGTGCAGGACATGTCTCATGTCTTGGAGGTGGGTATCTTTATGCATGATAGCAAGGATGTGCAGGACATGTCTCACGTCTTGGAGGTGGGTATCTTTATGTATGATGGCAAGGATGTGCAGGACATGTCTAGCGTCTTGGAGGTTGGTATCTTTATGTATGATGGCAAGGATGTGCAGGACATGTCTCACGTCTTTGAGGTGGGTATCTTTATGTATGATGGCAAGGATCTGCAGGACATGTCGCGCGTCTTGGAGGTGGGTATCTTTATGCATGATGGCAAGGGTGTGCAGGACATGTCTCGCGTCTTGGAGGTTGTGATGATGATATCTTTATGCATGATGTCAAGGATGTGCAGGACATGTCTCATGTCTTTGAGGTGGGTATCTTTATGCATGATAGCAAGGATGTGCAGGACATGTCTCACGTCTTGGAGGTGGGTATATTTATGCATGATGGCAAGGATGTGCAGGACATGTCTCGCGTCTTGGAGGTTGTGATGATGATATCTTTATGTATGATGTCAAGGATGTGCAGGACATGTCTCATGTCTTGGAGGTGGGTATCTTTATGTATGATGGCAAGGACGTGAAGGACATGTCTCGCGTCTTGGAGGTGGGTATCTTCATGCTTGATGGCAAGGATGTGCAGGACATGTCTCATGTCTTGGAGGTTGTGATGATGATATCTTTATGCATGATGTCAAGGATGTGCAGGAGATGTTGCGTGTGTTGGAGTTGGGTATCTTTATGTATGATGGCAAGGATGTGCAGGACATGTCTCACGTCTTTGAGGTGGGTATCTTTATGTATGATGGCAAGGATGTGCAGGACATGTCTCATGTCTTGGAGGTGGGTATCTTTATGTATGATGGCAAGGATGTGCAGGACATGTCTAGCGTCTTGGAGGTGGGTATCTTTATGTATGATGTCAAGGATGTGCAGGACATGTCTCGCATCTTGGAGGTGGGTATCTTTATGCATGATGTCAAGGATGTGCAGGACATGTCTTGCGTCTTGGAGGTTGTGATGATGATATCTTTATGCATGATGTCAAGGATGTGCAGGACATGTCTCATGTCTTGGAGGTGGGTATCTTTATGTATGATGGCAAGGACGTGAAGGACATGTCTCGCGTCTTGGAGGTGGGTATCTTCATGCTTGATGGCAAGGATGTGCAGGACATGTCTCATGTCTTGGAGGTTGTGATGATGATATCTTTATGCATGATGTCAAGGATGTGCAGGACATGTTGCGTGTGTTGGAGGTGGGTGTCTTTATGTATGATGGCAAGGATGTGCAGGACATGTCTCACGTCTTTGAGGTGGGTATCTTTATGTATGATGGCAAGGATGTGCAGGACATGTCTCATGTCTTGGAGGTGGGTATCTTTATGTATGATGGCAAGGATGTGCAGGACATGTCTAGCGTCTTGGAGGTGGGTATCTTTATGTATGATGTCAAGGATGTGCAGGACATGTCTCGCATCTTGGAGGTGGGTATCTTTATGCATGATGTCAAGGATGTGCAGGACATGTCTTGCGTCTTGGAGGTTGTGATGATGATATCTTTATGCATGATGTCAAGGATGTGCAGGACATTCCTCATGTCTTGGAGGTGGGTATCTTTATGTATGATGGCAAGGATGTGCAGGACATGTCTAGCGTCTTGAAAGGTGGGTATCTTTATGTATGATGGCAAGGATGTGCAAGATATGGCTCATGTTTTGGAGGTGAGTATCTTTATGTATGATGGCAAGGATGTGCAGGACATGTCTCACGTCTTGGAGGTGGGTATCTTTATGTATGATGGCAAGGATGTGCAGGACATGTCTCATGTTTTGGAGGTGGGTATCTTTATGTATGATGGCAAGGATGTGCAGGACATGTCACGCGTCTTGGAGGTTGGTATCTTTATGTATGATGGCAAGGATGTGCAGGACATGTCTCACGTCTTTGAGGTGGGTATCTTTATGTATGATGGCAAGGATCTGCAGGACATGTCGCGCGTCTTGGAGGTGGGTATCTTTATGCATGATGGCAAGGGTGTCCAGGACATGTCTCGCGTCTTGGAGGTTGTGATGATGATATCTTTATGCATGATGTCAAGGATGTGCAGGACATGTCTCATGTCTTGGAGGTGGGTATCTTTATGTATGATGGCAAGGATGTGCAGGACATGTCTCATGTCTTGGAGGTTGGTATCTTTATGTATGATGGCAAGGATGTGCAGGACATGTCGCGCGTGTTGGAGGTGGGTATCTTTATGTATGATGGCAAGGATGTGCAGGACATGTCTCGCGTCTTGGAGGTGGGTATCTTTATGCATGATGGCAAGGATGTGCAGGACATGTCTCATGTCTTGGAGGTGGGTATCTTTATGCATGATGGCAAGGATGTGCAGGACATGTCTCATGTCTTGGAGGTGGGTATCTTTATGCATGATGGCAAGGATGTGCAGGATATGCCTCATGTTTTGGAGGTTGGTTTCTTTATGTATGATGGCAAGGATGTGCAGGATATGCCTCATGTTTTGGATGTGGGGACAAATGTCAGGGGTGTAGACACCTCACATTGGACATGCAGCTGACATGCTTGAAATCTTCCACAGGTCATTCCCAGCTTGTTGACTTTGGTCTTCTGACGTGAGAGAGGCTGCCAGTCACCCCATACAGAGGACTCTACACAGTGCTAAACGGCCACGACATCAAGTGATGTTCATGATTCATACACAGTACAATAGGCTGATTTGAAAGAAAAACAACAAGATTGTGTTTGTGTGTGCGCATGCGTGTGTGTGCGTGTGTGTGCAAGTAACTTCAGTCAATCTGTCTGCCACAACTCATTTGTCCCCTTCTCTGTAGAAAAGTCATCATGTAGATCTACATTTACATCGGACAGAGGACACAGTGTTGTCCCGTCAGTCAGATCTCCCCGACGTGTTGATCTGCATTTACATCGGACAGACGACACACTTTTGTCCCATCAGTCAGATATCCCCGACGTGTAGATCTACAGTTACATCAGATAGAGGACACAGTATTGTCCCGTCAGTCAGACCTCCCCAACGTGTAGTGGACCTGTTGTAGTACTCAGTGTCTGCTTCACTGTACACTTCTTAAAAAGAACAATGTTATGCTCAGGGCCCTGTACACAAAGCGATCTGAGATGTTCGTAACTCCCATACTTTAACATTAGGCTTACGATAGTCATAGTGCTGAAGTTGCTTTGCTGAACAGGCCCAGAATTTCATTCAACTAGTCACACTGGCTTGTTATAGTACAGTTATAATTGTACAGTGATAGAAAAAGATGTACAGCCTAGAACTCTGAAACATTCAACAGTCCTGAAAAGGCTTAAAAAATTAAAAGAACTGGTTCTCAGGCAATGGGTTTTCAAAATATAGTGCGGGCGGGCGGTGTCTTTTATTTTATTTTTGTTGTTGTTCAAACTAGTTTGTAACCAAATAAACAGTTGTGTACAATCAGCCTGGGAAAGGGCCTCCCTACATAAATGTATTCCTTGATGAGTAAAATACTGGAATACGTTGGATTTGGAATGTTTAGGGATTTTATTTTTTTAAATTTTTGTTTAAATGGAAATAAAAACAAAGGTTTGGCAAACTTTATTATGATACAGGCGGTGCCTGAGAACCAAGACTATATCTTTTTTAGCCTAAACATGAACTTTTAGTCGAAACTAGTAAAGTAATGTGAGATTTCTGTTTAGGATTTTGACAAATACAAGTAAACCCTGACTTCAGCTGGAATCAGAAACAAATGCATTTCCTCAATAAATAAGCCCAGAAAGTATTTAAAGAAGATAACATGTAGAGGTAGCATTTCTCATGCAACTAGCCTTCGGAATTGTACACCCAACGTTGTAGTGTACAGTCCATGTTGTGTTGATGCTGTTGTTGTTTCTGTATGCAGATGTGTTCACTCACTTCAATGTGACGAACACAACGTTGACAGTGAATCACCAACAATGCACTGGGACATATACACAAGTTTATTGTACAGCAGCATGTTTGTTTTGGTTAACACATCCTGTTGAGTGGACACAGATGTGTCACGTGGGCAACAATCACCTCTAAAACATTGGATCTGTTCTCAGTGTGATGTGGGAATATATGCACACGTGTTGTGAACATCTAAAGCAAAACAAGGAAACATTTTGTGAAATGAAATTATCAAACAATGTTTTCAACTAAACATTTTCATATTAGAGACTCATTTGTATATTTTGTACATATGCTATTAAACTATACTTTTTCATTTTTTAGATCTGTTCATTTTCATTCTAAACCAATAAAAATATGTAGTGTCGTCTGACAGGGATCAATCTGCAGTTTACTGAGATGGCCTATCTTAGACCTGTGAATACCATTACTCTATGTATGGGATTTAAAACAGGCAAAACCCAGGTGCTTCATCAACAAAGCATTTCCAGCTCTGTGTCTGTCCAAACTTCAGAACATGAGGGCTTCATCACATGCATTAAGTAGATCTCCATCTGGCAGTCCACTTCTACACCCAGGAACTGCCTACACAAGTAGGGTTAGGTGTGAGTGACTAAGGGAAGCAACTCTGCACAGTAAAATGCAGCACATTGAACACTGGATCCCCTGAAGTCTTTAGTGTGCTCACTGTTCAGCCAGCAGTCCCCTCAACTAGTACACTCTACCTGCCTATGTTCCATATACACAACTGTCACATGACTTGTCCCTAATTACAGACAGAGTACATGGAAATCACACTAGGAATCTCTCACACATTACCCCACTATGTTTCAGTCAAGCTCCTTCCCAACATGTGACACCTTCCTTACACTCCCGGTGACATCGCTGCCACCAGTGTGGGCAGGGCAGGGCAGGGCAGGGCAGGACCATTACAACTCTAACTCCACAACGTAGTAACGTTTATACTCTTCTTTATGTCTTTGGGAATGCCATGATAGTGAATGTTGAAAAGGTTTATGACTGACAGTATTTCCCAGATGAATTTACCTTTTTTGTGTGTTTGTTTGATCAGATTGGTTCGAGATTGCAGACAAACAGACAAACAGACAAATCAACCAACTTCCCCCTAACATTCTTACTAAGAGTATTCCACGTTACAGCAGTCATCACTTGTTTGTAAACACTTGTTTGTAAACATAAGGGTCAGTCGGTTGCGAGTTCAACTCCGAGCATGGTTGTAGCCACCTAGCATAGAGAGTTCTGCGAAAGGGATATCGCTGTGAGGAGCTTGCGTTACAGTGTCACATGGCAGTGTGTTGATCTTTGGTTGTTATTGGGTGGTAACACGTGGCAGTACGTCGATGGTGACAGGTCAACTACAGCTTGCAGGTCCCTGGTGAGCGTGGGAAGGGAATGACATCACGGATGTTGCCTGTCCCTAACAGATGCTGCAGGTATCTCTCAAACCCGAGGCCAAAGCCGCCATGAGGAGCCGAGCCGTACTTCCTCAAGTCCAGGTACCTGAAAAAAGAGGATCTCTAGGATTGTGCTGAGCTTTCACAAACTGTTATCATTTCTGAAAGAAAGTGGACTGCTATAGTAGTTATTTTTCTTGACTCTGGATGTGATGGATTACGTGTACAATGCTTGTCGTAAGAGGCGGCGAACGGGAATGGTAGCCAGGCTCGCTGACTTGTTTGATGCATGTCATTGTATTCCAATCGCGTGGCTCGTTGCTCATGACGTCAATCGATGGATTGTCTGGTCCAGACCTACTTACAGACCGCCGTCATATAGCTGGAATATTGCTCAGTGTGGCGTTAAACAACAAACAAAAATAACAACAACAAAAATGTGTCCTTAGAGATACATGCTTGTACATCAAGCTAGTTTCTGGTCTAGTTCAATGCTGCAACCGTTGGGTTGCAAACAGTAAACAAGGGGTACAATACTTGCCAGTCATACATGTCTTGTTCTCCTGCGGCTTCAAGTCGTGAGTGCAGAGTATCATAATTGTCCTCCCTCAGACTGCCACCTATGAGCTCACCCACTCCAGGAACCAACAGGTCGACCGCACCCACCTACAAAACACATCACAGTTTAATTTAATCTGTTGAAGCTTGGAGGGTGTCTGGGCTACTACATCTGAATAAGATCGTACAAAGCAAGAAGTTTAACCTACAGTTTTGTTGTCTGGGTTGAGTTTGGTGTAGAACGGTTTGAGCTGCGCAGGGAAGTCTGTCACAAACACAGGAACATCACCCAGGTGCTGAGTCAGCCATCGCTCGTGCTCCTTCTGCAGATCAGCGCCCCACTTGGAAGAAAAAAAAACACATGTCAGAGATACAATGGATGATACTTCTACGTAGGAGACTCACTGACAGCAGAGATACAATGGATGATACTTCTACGTGGGAGACTCACAGACAGCAGAGATACGATGAATGCTACTTGTATGTGTGAGTGTCACTGACAGCAGAGACATGATGGATGATACTTCTATGTGTGAGACTGACAGCCAGCAGTGATACGATGGATGATACTTCTAAGTAGGAGACTCGCAGACAGCAGAGATACGACAGATGCTACTCCTATGTAGGAAACTGACAGACAGCAGAGATACAATGAATGATACTTCTACGTAGAAGACTCACAGACTGCAGAGATGTGAAGGATGCTACTTCTACATAGGAGACTCACAGACAGCAGCGATGCGATGGATGATATGAGGGGTGTTCATTAAAGATTTCCCCTGACCCTCTTCCGATGGACCTAGTGGAATGAAACTTAGCATAGGTATTAGTCTTTCTCCACATAGGAACCACCAAGAGTTACACACTTCTCCCATCGTTTTATGCAACTATGGAGACCTCGCTTGTAAAAGCCCTCATTTTGTGTCTTAAACCAGGACTTGACTTCGGAAATCAGTGTTTCATCATCTGTGAAACGTTTTCCCTTCAAAAATGACTTCATGTTTGGAAAGAGGTGGAAGTCAGATGGTGCAAGGTCAGGAGAGTAAGGAGGATGTGGAAGGATTTCATAGCCACAGGACTGCACTTCTGTCTGGGCAACATGAGAGTTGTGTACTGGAACATTGTCTTGCAGGAGACGGACACCCTTGGTCAGCATGCCACGCCTCTTAAGCTTGATAGCGTCCCGCAATTTCCGCAGCAGTGAAGCATAATAAGCTCCTGTAATTGTGGTACCCTTTGCCAAGAAATCCATCATCACTACTCCGTGCTGGTCCCAAAACAGCACCTGCCTGCAGAGGGTTGGACACGTGCCTTCTTTGGGGGTGGTGACTCCACATGCTTCCATTGCATCGACTGAACTTTAGTCTCAGGATCATAGTGATGGACCCATGTTTCATCCTGTGTGATAAGTCTGTCAAAAAAGTTTGCCTGTTTTTTTTGGCACATGTCCAAAAGATCCTTTGAGCAATTGACTAGTTCCTGCTTTTGGAAAGGGGTGAGCAGCCTGGGAATCCATCGTGCAGACACCTTATGCATGTTCAAATTGTCATGGATGATTTTTTCGACAGACCCTACACTGATCTTGACATCTTGTGCTAACTGGCGAACAGTTATACGTCGGTCTGCCAAAATGGCGGTCTCTACTTGATGGATAGTGTCCTCATCTATGGCTGAATGGGGGCTACCAGGTACGGCAGCTGTTTCCGCAGATGTCCGACCACACTTGAACTGGCGATGCCAGTGTTTAACAACGTCATATGATGGGGCATCTTCCCAGTAAGTTACTTTCATTTCATCGAAAGTTTCTTTTGGTGTGCGACCTTTCAAATATAAAAACCTAATCACTGCTCGGTATTCTACTGGCTCCATTGTCACACCCTACTCGATCATAACACCTGTAAAAGTGGTAAGATTAATAGTTCGGTGCTGCAAATTCAGACATAACCCATAGATACATGTATCATTACACGTGAAATTTCAACCAAATATGATAACCCTAAGTGGTTTAGGGGCAATCTTTAATGAACACCCCTCGTACTTCTACTTAGGGGACTGACAGACAGCAGAGATAAGATGGATGCTACTTCTACGTGGGAGACTCACAGGCAGCAGAGATACGATTGATGATACATCTACGTGGGAGACTCACTGACAGCCGAGATGCGATGGATGATACTTCTACTTAAAAGACTGACAGCCAGCAGTGATACGATGGATGATACATCTACGTGGGAGACTGACTGACAGCAGTGATACGATGGATGATACATCTACGTGGGAGACTGACAGACAGCAGTGATACGATGGATGATACATCTACGTGGGAGACTGACTGACAGCAGTGATACGATGGATGATACATCTACGTGGGAGACTGACAGACAGCAGTGATACGATGGATGCTACTTCTACATGGGAGACTCACTGACAGCAGAGATGCGATGGATGCTACTTCTATGTGGGAGACTCACTGACAACAGTGATACGATGGATGATACATCTACGTGGGAGACTGACAGATAGCAGAGATGCGATGGATGCTACTTCTATGTGGGAGACCCACAGACAGCCGAGATGCGATGGATGCTACTTCTACTTAAAAGACTGACAGACAGCAGTGATACGATGGATGATACATCTACGTGGGAGACTGACTGACAGCAGTGATACGATGGATGATACATCTACGTGGGAGACTGACAGGCAGCAGTGATACGATGGATGCTACTTCTATGTGGGAGACTCACTGACAGCAGTGATACGATGGATGATACATCTACGTGGGAGACTGACTGACAGCAGTGATACGACGGATGATACATCTACGTGGGAGACTGACAGACAGCAGTGATACGATGGATGCTACTTCTATGTGGGAGACTCACTGACAACAGTGATACGATGGATGATACATCTACGTGGGAGACTGACAGATAGCAGTGATACGATGGATGCTACTTCTACATGGGAGACTCACTGACAGCAGAGATGCGATGGATGATACATCTACGTGGGAGACTGACAGACAGCAGAGATACGATAGATGCTACTTCTACATGGGAGACTTACTGACAGCAGAGATGCGATGGATGATACATCTACGTGGGAGACTGACAGATAGCAGTGATACGATGGATGCTACTTCTACATGGGAGACTCACTGACAGCAGAGATGGGATGGATGATACATCTACGTGGGAGACTGACAGACAGCCGAGATACGATGGATGCTACTTCTATGTGGGAGACTCACTGACAGCAGTGATACGATGGATGATACTTCTACATGGGAGACTGACAGACAGCAGTGATACGATGGATGCTGCTTCTATGTGGGAGACTCACAGACAGCAGAGATACGATGGATGCTACTTCTACATGGGAGACTCACTGACAGCAGAGATGCGATGGATGCTACTTCTACATGGGAGACTGACTGACAGCAGTGATACGATGGATGATACATCTACGTGGGAGACTGACAGACAGTAGAGATGCGATGGATGCTACTTCTATGTGGGAGACTCACTGACAGCCGAGATGTGATGGATGATACTTCTACTTAAAAGACTGACAGCCAGCAGTGATACGATGGATGATACATCTACGTGGGAGACTGACAGACAGCAGAGATACGATGGATGCTACTTCTACTTAAAAGAATGACAGACAGCAGTGATACGATGGATGCTACTTCTATGTGGGAGACTCACAGACAGCAGAGATACGATGGATGCTACTTCTATGTGGGAGACCCACAGACAGCCGAGATGCGATGGATGCTACTTCTACTTAAAAGACTGACAGACAGCAGTGATACGATGGATGATACATCTACGTGGGAGACTGACAGACAGCAGTGATACGATGGATGCTACTTCTATGTGGGAGACTCACTGACAACAGTGATACGATGGATGATACATCTACGTGGGAGACTCACAGACAGCAGAGATACGATGGATGCTACTTCTATGTGGGAGTCTCACAGACAGCAGAGATACGATGGATGCTACTTCTATGTGGGAGTCTCACAGACAGCAGAGATACGATGGATGCTACTTCTATGTGGGAGACTCACTGACAGCAGTGATACGATGGATGATACATCTACGTGGGAGACTGACTGACAGCAGTGATACGACGGATGATACATCTACGTGGGAGACTGACAGACAGCAGTGATACGATGGATGCTACTTCTATGTGGGAGACTCACTGACAACAGTGATACGATGGATGATACATCTACGTGGGAGACTGACAGATAGCAGTGATACGATGGATGCTACTTCTACATGGGAGACTCACTGACAGCAGAGATGCGATGGATGATACATCTACGTGGGAGACTGACAGACAGCAGAGATACGATAGATGCTACTTCTACATGGGAGACTTACTGACAGCAGAGATGCGATGGATGATACATCTACGTGGGAGACTGACAGATAGCAGTGATACGATGGATGCTACTTCTACATGGGAGACTCACTGACAGCAGAGATGGGATGGATGATACATCTACGTGGGAGACTGACAGACAGCCGAGATACGATGGATGCTACTTCTATGTGGGAGACTCACTGACAGCAGTGATACGATGGATGATACTTCTACATGGGAGACTGACAGACAGCAGTGATACGATGGATGCTACTTCTATGTGGGAGACTCACTGACAGCAGTGATACGATGGATGATACTTCTACATGGGAGACTGACAGACAGCAGTGATACGATGGATGCTGCTTCTATGTGGGAGACTCACAGACAGCAGAGATACGATGGATGCTACTTCTACATGGGAGACTCACTGACAGCAGAGATGCGATGGATGCTACTTCTACATGGGAGACTGACTGACAGCAGTGATACGATGGATGATACATCTACGTGGGAGACTGACAGACAGTAGAGATGCGATGGATGCTACTTCTATGTGGGAGACTCACTGACAGCCGAGATGTGATGGATGATACTTCTACTTAAAAGACTGACAGCCAGCAGTGATACGATGGATGATACATCTACGTGGGAGACTGACAGACAGCAGAGATACGATGGATGCTACTTCTACTTATAAGAATGACAGACAGCAGTGATACGATGGATGCTACTTCTATGTGGGAGACTCACAGACAGCAGAGATACGATGGATGCTACTTCTATGTGGGAGACCCACAGACAGCCGAGATGCGATGGATGCTACTTCTACTTAAAAGACTGACAGACAGCAGTGATACGATGGATGATACATCTACGTGGGAGACTGACAGACAGCAGTGATACGATGGATGCTACTTCTATGTGGGAGACTCACTGACAACAGTGATACGATGGATGATACATCTACGTGGGAGACTCACAGACAGCAGAGATACGATGGATGCTACTTCTATGTGGGAGTCTCACAGACAGCAGAGATACGATGGATGCTACTTCTATGTGGGAGTCTCACAGACAGCAGAGATGCGATGGATGCTACTTCTATGTGGGAGACTCACAGACAGCCGAGATACGATGGATGCTACTTCTACATGGGAGACTCACTGACAGACAGCAGAGATGTGATGGATGCTACTTCTACATGGGAGACTGACAGATAGCAGTGATACGATGGATGCTACTTCTACATGGGAGACTGACAGATAGCAGAGATGCGATGGATGCTACTTCTACATGGGAGACTCACTGACAGCCGAGATACGATGGATGCTACTTCTATGTGGGAGACTCACAGACAGCAGTGATACGATGGATGATACTTCTACATGGGAGACTGACAGACAGCAGTGATACGATGGATGCTACTTCTACATGGGAGACTCACTGACAGACAGCAGTGATACGATGGATGCTACTTCTACATGGGAGACTCACTGACAGCAGTGATACGATGGATGATACATCTACGTGGGAGACTGACAGACAGCAGAGATACGATGGATGCTACTTCTACATGGGAGACTCACTGACAGCAGAGATGCGATGGATGCTACTTCTACATGGGAGACTGACTGACAGCAGTGATACGATGGATGATACATCTACATGGGAGACTGACAGACAGTAGAGATGCGATGGATGCTAATTCTATGTGGGAGACTCACCGACAGCCGAGATGTGATGGATGATACTTCTACTTAAAAGACTGACAGCCAGCAGTGATATGATGGATGATACATCTACGTGGGAGACTGACAGACAGCAGAGAAACAATGGATGCTACTTCTATGTGGGAGACTCACTGACAGCCAAGATGCGATGGATGCTACTTCTACAAGGGAGACTGACAGACAGCAGAGATACGATGGATGATACTTCTACTTAAAAGACTGACAGATAGCAGTGATACGATGGATGCTGCTTCTACTTAAAAGAATGACAGACAGCAGTGATACGATGGATGCTACTTCTATGTGGGAGACTCACAGACAGCAGAGATACGATGGATGCTGCTTCTATGTGGGAGACTCACAGACAGCAGAGATACGATGGATGCTACTTCTATGTGGGAGACTCATAGACAGCAGAGATACGATGGATGATACTTCTACTTAAAAGACTGACAGATAGCAGTGATACGATGGATGCTGCTTCTACTTAAAAGAATGACAGACAGCAGTGATACGATGGATGCTACTTCTATGTGGGAGACTCACAGACAGCAGAGATACGATGGATGCTGCTTCTATGTGGGAGACTCACAGACAGCAGAGATACGATGGATGCTACTTCTATGTGGGAGACTCACAGACAGCAGTGATACGATGGATGCTACTTCTACATGGGAGACTGACTGACAGCAGTGATACGATGGATGATACATCTACATGGGAGACTGACAGACAGCCGAGATGCGATGGATGCTACTTCTATGTGGGAGACCCACAGACAGCCGAGATGCGATGGATGCTACTTCTACTTAAAAGACTGACAGGCAGCAGTGATACGATGGATGATACATCTACGTGGGAGACTCACAGGCAGCAGAGATGTGATGGATGATACTTCTACGTGGGAGACTCACAGGCAGCAGAGATGCGATGGATGCTACTTCTACATGGGAGACTGACAGACAGCAGAGATGCGATGGATGATACTTCTATGTGGGAGACTCACAGACAGCAGAGATACGATGGATGCTACTTCTACATGGGAGACTGACAGACAGCAGAGATGCGATGGATGATACTTCTACTTAAAAGACTGACAGACAGCAGAGATACAACGGATGATACTTCTACATGGGAGACTCACAGACAGCAGAGATACGATGGATGCTACTTCTATGTGGGAGACTGACTGACAGCAGTGATACGATGGATGATACATCTACATGGGAGACTGACAGACAGCCGAGATGCAATGGATGCTACTTCTATGTGGGAGACCCACAGACAGCCGAGATGCGATGGATGCTACTTCTACTTAAAAGACTGACAGACAGCAGTGATAAGATGGATGCTACTTCTATGTGGGAGACTCACAGACAGCAGAGATACGATGGATGCTGCTTCTATGTGGGAGACTCACAGACAGCAGAGATACGATGGATGCTACTTCTATGTGGGAGACTCACAGACAGCAGTGATACGATGGATGCTACTTCTACATGGGAGACTGACTGACAGCAGTGATACGATGGATGATACATCTACATGGGAGACTGACAGACAGCCGAGATGCGATGGATGCTACTTCTATGTGGGAGACCCACAGACAGCCGAGATGCGATGGATGCTACTTCTACTTAAAAGACTGACAGGCAGCAGTGATACGATGGATGATACATCTACGTGGGAGACTCACAGGCAGCAGAGATGTGATGGATGCTACTTCTACATGGGAGACTGACAGACAGCAGAGATGCGATGGATGATACTTCTATGTGGGAGACTCACAGACAGCAGAGATACGATGGATGCTACTTCTACATGGGAGACTGACAGACAGCAGAGATGCGATGGATGATACTTCTACTTAAAAGACTGACAGACAGCAGAGATACAATGGATGCTACTTCTATGTGGGAGACTCACAGGCAGCAGAGATACGATGGATGCTACTTCTACAAGGGAGACTGACAGACAGCAGAGATGCGATGGATGATACTTCTACTTAAAAGACTGACAGGAAGCAGAGATACGATGGATGCTACTTCTATGTGGGAGACTCACAGACAGCAGAGATACGATGGATGATACTTCTACATGGGAGACTCACAGGCAGCAGAGATGCAATGGATGCTACTTCTACATGGGAGACTGACAGACAGCAGAGATGCGATGGATGATACTTCTATGTGGGAGACTCACAGACAGCAGAGATACGATGGATGCTACTTCTACATGGGAGACTGACAGACAGACGAGATGCGATGGATGATACTTCTACTTAAAAGACTGACAGACAGCAGAGATACAATGGATGCTACTTCTATGTGGGAGACTCACAGGCAGCAGAGATACGATGGATGCTACTTCTACAAGGGAGACTGACAGACAGCAGAGATGCGATGGATGATAATTCTACTTAAAAGACTGACAGACAGCAGAGATACGATGGATGCTACTTCTATGTGGGAGACCCACAGACAGCAGAGATGTGATGGATGATACTTCTACTTAAAAGACTGACAGATAGCAGTGATACGATGGATGCTGCTTCTATGTGGGAGACTGACAGACAGCAGAGATGTGATGGATGCTACTTCTATGTGGGAGACCCACAGACAGCAGAGATACGATGGATGATACTTCTACTTAAAAGACTGACAGACAGCAGAGATACGATGGATGCTACTTCTACATGGGAGACTCACCTGCACCTTAAACTGGAAGTTGTTATTGGCATGTAGGAGAGAAATGGCTTCAGTGTAGGTGATCCTGGAACAGTTTGATGTGATACAATTGTAGGGCAAGAAGGATAATAGTAGACAAGTTCCATCAGAAAACTATACACAAGAAAAGAGGGAATGAACTGTGGAGTTGATGTTGTGGGTCTCTATTTACGAAGAGTTGATGTTCTGAAGGTTGTGGGTGTCTATTTATGTGGAGTTGATGTTGTTCTGAAGGTTGTGGGTCTCTATTTAAGTGGAGTTGATGTTGTTCTGGAGGTTGCGGATGTCTATTTATGTGGAGTTGATGTTGTTCTGAAGGTTGTGGGTCTCTATTTATGTGGAGTTGATGTCCTGAAGGTTGCGGGTGTCTATTTATGTGGAGTTGATGTTGTTCTGAAGGTTGCGGGTGTCTATTTATGTGGAGTTGATGTTGTTCTGAAGGTTGCGGGTGTCTATTTATGTAGAGTTGATGTTGTTCTGAAGGTTGTGGGTCTCTATTTATGTGGAGTTGATGTTCTGAAGGTTGCGGGTGTCTATTTATGTAGAGTTGATGTTGTTCTGAAGGTTTGCGGGTGTCTATTTATGTAGAGTTGATGTTGTTCTGAAGGTTGCGGGTCTCTATTTATGTGGAGTTGATGTTGTTCTGAAGGTTGCGGGTGTCTATTTATGTAGAGTTGATGTTGTTCTGAAGGTTGTGGGTCTTTATTTATGTAGAGTTGATGTTGTTCTGAAGGTTGTGGGTCTTTATTTATGTAGAGTTGATGTTGTTCTGAAGGTTGTGGGTCTTTATTTATGTAGAGTTGATGTTGGTCTGAAAGTTGCAGTGCTCTCACCGCTTGAACTGCTGTGTTGCCATTGCCTCCACAGTCTCCTACAACAAGACAGGAACCCAGTGTTACTTCCACTTCGCAATACTAAGATTATCCCATGAATTATATCTCCATTCTATTAGGATAAATACCCTGGACCAACTGGCCACCAAAGATTGTTTGGGAATTGACGTCAAGATCTCCATCTCTCCTTTCACAGAAGTACAGTATGTCACTTGCTTGTGGGCCAGAAATCATCAACACCCCAAAATGCCTTTACTGAACTTTAGTTAAGAATGGATCTACATTCAATATTGTAGCCTCATCAGAGCAAGCCCTCAATGTATTTAATCCAATCATAAGTTAGGCATGAAAAGATGATAGGGGGAGTCCTTATGTTAAAACATGTTACAATAGGTGTATTAGAGACGCCACACAAAAGTGCGATGGTGACATTCAGCTTGGTATAACAGGACAGTGTGACCTAAACATACATGCTATTCAGCTTAGTATGCCAGGACAGTGTGACCTAAACATACATGCAATTCAGCTTAGTATGACAGGACAGTGTGACCTAAACATACATGCTATTCAGCTTGGTATAACAGGACAGTGTGACCTAAACATACATGCTATTCAGCTTGGTATAACAGGTCGGCATGACCTAAACATACATGCTATGCCGGTGTGACCTAAACTTTCCACATACTGCTACTTGCCCTTTGCTTCTCGGCGCCTGTATTCTGCAGGTAGTAATGAACATCTTCCTGAGCTGACTCCATCACTGTCTGCGTCGTCGTCCTCACCATCTCCTCCATCACCTGAAATATGTTTTGTTTTGTTTGTTGTTTAACGCCAAACTCAGCAATATTCCAACCATATGACGGCGGTCTGTAAATAATTGAGTCTGGACCAGACAATCCAGTGATTGACATCATGAGCATCGATCCACGCAATTGGGATACAATTACATGCATCAACAAGTCAGCGAGCCTAACCACCTGATCCCTTTAGTCCCCTCTTATGACAAGCATAGTTGCGAGTTACGGCAAAAATGGGTTGCTGAAGACTTATTCTACCCCAGATCTTCAAGGGTCCTGAAATATGTACACCTTATCAGTAGACATACACACTATCAGACAGCGTTGTAGCTCACCTGCTCCATGTCCTTCATGAGTAGGTATACATGTACACTATATATACACCTATTTACAGTGTTGTAGCTTACCTGCTCCTTGTCCGTCATCTGTAGGTATGTACACTATATATACACCTAGTTACAGTGTTGTAGCTTACCTGCTCCATGTCCTTCATCTATAGGTATGTACACTATATATATACACCTAGTTACAGTGTTGTAGCTCACCTGCTCCATGTCCTTCATCTGTAGATATGTACACCAAATATCCACCTAGTTACAGCTTTGTAGCTTTCCATGCTGCATGCCCTTTATCTGTAGGTATGTACACTATATATACACCTAGTTACAGTGTTGTAGCTCACCTGCTCCATGTCCTTCATCTATAGGTATGTACACTATATATACACCTAGTTACAGTGTTGTAGCTCACCTGCTCCATGTCCTTCATCTGTAGGTATGTACACTAAATATCCACCTAGTTACAGCATTGTAGCTTACCTGCTGCATGCCCTTTATCTATAGGTATGTACACTATATATACACCTAGTTACAGCATTGTAGCTCACCTGCTCCATGTCCTTCATGTGCAGGTATACATGTAAACTATATATACACCTATTTACAGTGTTGTAGCTCACCTGCTCCATGTCCTTCATCTGTAGGTATGTACACTTTATATACACCTAGTTACAGTGTTGTAGCTCACCTGCTCCATGTCCTTCATGTGCAGGTATACATGTACACTATATATACACCTATTTACAGTGTTGTAGCTCACCTGCTCCATGTCCTTCATCTATAGGTATGTACACTACATATACACCTAGTTACAGTGTTGTAGCTCACCTCCTCCTTGTCCGTCATCCGTAGGTATGTACACTATATATACACCTATTTACAGTGTTGTAGCTTACCTGATCCGTGTCCTTCATCTGTAGGTATATACACTATATATACCTAGTTACAGTGTTGTAGCTCACCTGCTCCTTGTCCGTCATCTGTAGGTATGTACACTATATATATACACCTATTTACAGTGTTGTAGCTTACCTGCTCCGTGTCCTTCATCTGTAGGTATATACACTATATATCCACCTAGTTACAGCATTGTAGCTTACCTGCTGCATGCCCTTTATCTGTAGGTATGTACACTAAATATCCACCTAGTTACAGCATTGTAGCTTACCTGCTGCATGCCCTTTATCTATAGGTATGTACACTATATATACACCTAGTTACAGCATTGTAGCTCACCTGCTCCATGTCCTTCATGTGCAGGTATACATGTACACTATATATACACCTATTTACAGTGTTGTAGCTCACCTGCTCCATGTCCTTCATCTATAGGTATGTACACTACATATACACCTAGTTAGTGTTGTAGCTCACCTGCTCCTTGTCCGTCATCCGTAGGTATGTACACTATATATACACCTATTTACAGTGTTGTAGCTTACCTGATCCGTGTCCTTCATCTGTAGGTATATACACTATATATACCTAGTTACAGTGTTGTAGCTCACCTGCTCCTTGTCCGTCATCTGTAGGTATGTACACTATATATATACACCTATTTACAGTGTTGTAGCTTACCTGCTCCGTGTCCTTCATCTGTAGGTATATACACTATATATACCTAGTTACAGTGTTGTAGCTCACCTGCTCCTGGTCCATCATGTGTAGGTATGTACACTATATATACACCTACAGTGTTGTAGCTCACCTGCTCCTTGTCCGTCATCTGTAGATATGTACACTATATATACACCTAGTTACAGTGTTGTAGCTCACCTGCTCCTTGTCCGTCATCTGTAGGTATGTACACTATATATACACCTATTTACAGTGTTGTAGCTTACCTGATCCGTGTCCTTCATCTGTAGGTATATACACTATATATACCTAGTTACAGTGTTGTAGCTCACCTGCTCCTGGTCCATCATCTGTAGGTATGTACACTAAATATACACCTTGTTACAGTGTTGTAGCTTACCTGCTTCATGTCCTTCATCTATAGGTATGTACACTACATATACACCTAGAACAGTGTTGTAGCTCACCTGCTCCATGTCCTTCATTTATAGGTATGTACACTATATATATACACCTAGTTACAGTGTAGTAGCTCACCTGCTCCATGTCCTTCATCTGTAGATATGTACACTAAATATCCACCTAGTTACAGCATTGTAGCTTACCTGCTGCATGCCCTTTATCTGTAGGTATGTACACTATATATACACCTAGTTACAGCATTGTAGCTCACCTGCTCCATGTCCTTCATCTATAGGTATGTACACTATAAATACACCTAGTTACAGTCTTGTAGCTCACCTGCTCCATGTCCTTCATCTGCTGCATGCCCTCTATCTGTAGGCATGTACACTATTTTATACACCTAGTTACAGTGTTGTAGCTTACCTGCTCCTTGTCCGTCATCTGTAGGTATGTACACTATATATATACACCTATTTACAGTGTTGTAGCTTACCTGCTCCGTGTCCTTCATCTGTAGGTATATACACTATATATACCTAGTTACAGTGTTGTAGCTCACCTGGTCCTGGTCCATCATGTGTAGGTATGTACACTATATATACACCTACAGTGTTGTAGCTCACCTGCTCCTTGTCCGTCATCTGTAGGTATGTACACTATATATACACCTAGTTACAGTGTTGTAGCTCACCTGCTCCTTGTCCTTCATCTGTAGGTATGTGAGTGAGTGAGTGAGTTTGGTTTTACGCCGCTTTTAGCAATATTCCAGCAATATCACGGCGGGGGACACCAGAAATGGGCTTCACACATTGTACCCATGTCGGGAATCGAACCCGGGTCTTCGGCGTGAAGAGCGAACGCTTTAACCACTAGGCTACCCGACCGCCCCTCTGTAGGTATGTACACAATATATACACCTATTTACAGTGTTGTAGCTTACCTGATCCGTGTCCTTCATCTGTAGGTATATACACTATATATACCTAGTTACAGTGTTGTAGCTCACCTGCTCCATCATCTGTAGGTATGTACACTAAATATACACCTTGTTACAGTGTTGTAACTTACCTGCATGATATCCTCCAAGGTGTCTGTGAACACCAACTCAGCTTCGATCATGTAGAATTCACACAAATGGTGGCGTCCACGTGAGTTTTCTGCTCTGAACGTTGGACCAAACGTGTAAACTCTGGAAAAGCCCCTGTGATGAACACAAGGAAACACAAAGTTCAAACATTCTATATTCCTGTATGAATACACATCAGCACTCAGCTAGTAAGTACATAGACAATATTTGTTTGTTTCCTTGTTTTTGTAATGCCGCACTCAGCAATATTCCCTAATGTAAATAATCAAGTCTGGACCAGACAATCCAGTGATGGACATCATGAGCATCAATCCAAGTCAGCTAGCCTGAACACCCGATCCAAACAGTCGCCTCTTACAACAAGCAAATTTTGTAGAATTTTCCTATTCGGAATATTCTATAAGTAATACGTTACCACTGTTATACCGAGGCTGTTGTCTCCCACAACTGCTGCTATAGCGAAATCTACCACAGAGATCTCAATTACCTCATGCAGCACGTGCGTAGCCACCTAGCTGCCATGTGACACCCTTCACTCTTGTCTCCTGCGAGAGCAAGTGCTCGGGGGACGGACGGGCGGGCAGCAGCCCAGTGGTAACGTATTACTTATAGAATATTCCGAATAGGAAAATTCTACAAATTACATTAAGTAATACGTTACCACTGTTATACCGAGGCTGACTACCACAGTAGGCGGTGGGGAGCACCTACAACCCGAATCCTGACTGCTAGCGTTCCTTCCGACCAGCGGAAGTAAACACCAAGGCGGAAGCACTCGATGCGCATGCACCTAGCTAGGCGTTACCCTATAGGAATACCAAAGCACTGTCAAGCGCATACCGTAAGGCTCAATCGTCAATGCCAAAACGATTGGTGACTCCAAACGGCCCCACTGGATAGGTATTTCATCGCCGCAGCGGATGAGAACACTGTATCCGCGTGAGCTAAATCTTAGATCAGGTTAAACAGTCGAAAAGAGGGAAATTAATTTCCTTCAGACCGTATATCCCAGAGCAAGCCTACTTTAAGTATGCATTAGGCGCGTGACCTAATTCCAGTATTCGTAAGCATGTATCGCAAGGTTGGAATACACGACAGACAATTAAATGCATAATTGTCAAAATACAAATAAGGACAAAACACACAAAAAGCCGCCTCACCTGTGGTGTGAGTGCGCTGGTTTGCAGGACCCCCACTCCTGTACCCACGGCGTGGGAACATTGGAGACGACCCAGATTGACCACCGTGCAAGGACTGACGACTGCGGAGTTTGGAATTGCGCTGGACACACCCCCTAGATGACCGCTTGTGCCGCGATCAGCGGCCCAAGACGGTGCACCCCCTCCACGTCTTCATCAGAAACCTTTCTGAGGTAATGATTGGCAAAAACCGAGTCAGAACGCCAGTAACAACCTCGTAATATTCTGTGAACAGAGATATTCATGTGTAGGGCAAATGTTGCCGCTAGCGCCCTGATCTCGTGCGGGTTTGACCCCGCTACCGGTAACCCCCGAGACCGGTTCGCCAGATTGATGACAGAACAAGGCCACAACGCAATCGAGTTGCGAGTTATGTCAACCGTGCGATTAGGGTTACACGATATGAACAGACGGTCACGCCCTTGTCTACGTTCATTCGAAGCCTTAAGATAATACTTAAGGACCCTAACCGGACACAGCGCTCTGTCCTCAGTATCAGCAGGATGTAAGATTTCTTTGAGGGATCTTACAGTGAATTCTCTCTCCGTTTGCCCGACTCTCTGATTCTTGGCGACGAAGCCCATGAGCAGGCCCAGGCGGACCGCTCCTTCATCACCCCTATCGAATCGTACCTTGGCGACATCGAGTGCATGAATTTCGGATACACGTGCCGCTGTGGCAAAGGAGAGGAGAAATGCTGTTTTCCAAGTCACATGCCGGAACGAAGCACTATGCAAGGGTTCATACGGAGCTTCTGTAAGTGATTGCAACACTAGGGAAAGATCCCAGGCCGGTGCCCGAAGGCGGCCCTTCTTAAGATCGTGCTGTTTGAAACCCTTGATAATACCCCGTATCACCGGCTCTTTGGAGAGACTGGTACCCATAGCAACGTCCCGTACCGTAGCAACGGACGAGACATAGTTGGCAATGGAACCCCCGGAGAGTTTCCGGGTCTCTCGCAAGTGAGACATGAAACGAGCAATATCCTGCACAGATACCTTATCTGGCGAATGAATGTGATGTTTACAACACCACTTCGTGAAAATAACCCAACGTGCATTATACACCTTCTGGGTAGAATCACGATGCATACTAACGTATGCCTGAGACGCCCGGCGAGAAAAACCTTTACTCCTCAGACGCTCGGTGACAACACCCACGCGTGCAGATTGAACTGCCCTGCGTTTGGATGAAGCTGACGGGTGTGAGGGTGGATCAAGAGATCCGGTCTCACAGGCAGTGGGAGTGGCGACTGCGTGACCTGGGTCAGCAAGTCGGGGTACCACGATCTGTTTGGCCACATGGGCGCGATCAGTAACATTCGACAGCGAACTCCTCGAAGCCGGCTTAGAATGTGTGGTATCAACGCTGTCCGCGGGTAAGCATAAGCGTCCAAGCCCGTCCAGTCTAACGCGAGAGCATCGTGATCGATGGCCCTCGGGTCCGGGACTGGTGATACAAACAACGGGAGTTGATTGTTGAACCGTGTTGCGAACAGGTCAACCATCGGACGACCCAAACGTTCGCACAGCCACTGAAACACTACTGGGTTCAGCATCCACTTTGTGGGGCTCGGATCCTGAGGCCTTGATAGAGCATCGGCCAGTACGTTCCGCACACCTGGGATGTGACGGGCGCCTATCTGGCACGGGACACTGTCCACCAGAGCGTAAAACTCGAACGTGAGATCGAGTAGAGAGTGACTGTGGGTTCCCCCCAGTTTGTTCACATAGGACACTACCGTCGTGTTGTCGGTCGCCAGCATGAGCCGGGCGTCGACGAGACGATGCTTCCAGTGATTGACTGCGTTGATCACTGCCTTGAACTCGAGACAATTGATGTGAAGACCTAGTTCGTCTACGCACCACAGCCCCGAGCTCACCTCCCCCTCTAGATGGGCGCCCCAGCCCACTAGAGAGGCGTCTGTATACAGGTTCAACGTGGCCCGGTAGGGCCGCAAAGAGACTCCTGATAAGACATTGTAAGGGAGCGTCCACCACTCCAGATGCGGTCGGAGCCGATCCGGGAGGGCGACGGTCGCACTGTTCACCTCCGTTGCTAACAACTGGATTAAAAACCGTTGCAGCGGGCGGAGTTGGAGACGACCCCGTACGGTGCAGTCCTGGGGTGATACAAGTAGCCCTAACAGCTGTTCCCAAAAGTGAACAGTCTGTTGCACCGCTAAGACTTTGGCAATCATCGCCTGAATTTTGTGCCACCGGTCTGGGGGGACAAAGAGGCGATGGGACACCGTGTTGAACCGACCTCCGATGAACTGCAAGTTCTGAGAAGGGGTTAACTCGCTCTTGGGGAGATTGACAATCCACCCCAATTGCTCCAAGAGCCGACGTGCGAAAACGAGATGGCGTGACAGGGTGTCCGTCATTCGATTTGCTACTAGCGAGTCGTCCAGGTACGCGAAGTACCGGACACCCCTCCTGTGGAGGAACCCCACTATGGGGGTGGTTAACCGGGTGAACAGCCAGGGAGCGGATGAAAGACCGAATGGGAGTACAACCCACTCGTAGTGCCTGCCTTGAAAGACAAACCTGAGATACTTGTGATGATCCGAGTGAATCGGAACATGCAGATAAGCATCCTTCAGGTCGATCGAAGCTAGCCAGTCGGCCGGCATGATCAGTGCTTTCAGGTCCGTCAAGCTCAACATTCTGAACTTGGGCGGTTTCGGCACTGTCCTTCTTGGGAACGAGAAATATCCTGGAGTAAAACCCCGGTGTTATTTCTGGTAGAGCTAACTCCCGAACTGCCCTCTTCTCCACCAACCTGCCGATGGCATCGGCGAGGAAGGGAAGATCGGTTTCCGAATAGAAACCTGCCGACGGGGCAACGGTGAGCGGCGGATTCGCTTTGAGATCGAGCCGATAGCCGTACCGAATCGTGTTGACCACCCACGGGTCGTCCAACACTTGTTCCCAATTCTCCCAGTAAGTCTGGAGTCTGGCTTCCACTGGGGAAAGAGAGGGGGGCCGGACGGGCTGCGGCAGGCGCAACTGTCCAGGGCCAAGTGACTCGGGTTCGCCTACGGGCCAACCGAAGTTGGCGCTGTCGGCATACGAACCCCTCCAATGAGAGTCACCTGGAGGGGCCCTTGCCGTCCTTAGACGACTTGGGCTTCCCCCAGTTCCCCTTCTTCCCGCGAAAGGGCTGCTGAGAACCCTTACCGGAGCCCTCAGAGCGGGGCTTCTTCCCGGAGGAAGAAGGACCCGACCCCTTAGGCCTGCCGGACGCAGCATCCTGGGGCGCGCTCCGCTTCGGAGCGGCACCCAGGCGCCTATGCAAGGACCCCACAAGATCCAGTGTGTGCCGAGAGGCCTCGGCAGACACAGCGGCCTGTTGTTCCTTCAGAACCCCAGGGATCTTGTTATTAAACAGGGTCCGAGCAGACCAAGGCTGCGAAAGGAGCACCTCCTGATTAGCAGCGTCCAACCCTGAAGCAACCAGATACGACTGGCGCCGAAGAAAATGGCACGTGCCGGAAACAAAGGCCGAAGCCCCGGCAACGTACTCCAGGGAAGCATTCAAACCGAGCAAGCAGTTGTAAATGCGCTGGTCTCGGTCCGTGGGAGAAACTTCGACCAGACTGGCCGCTGCAGCCAGGTATGTGTCTCCGTGAGACATTGCCAGCATGGAGTGTCGAGCGAGGGTGTCCAGCTGTTGCAAGGTACCTTGTGGTACCGTGGCAACCGGTGGGGCACGGACCCCCAAACGCTCAACATGGGCTTCCGCAGAAGGACCAGCCTCGGGAAAGGCAAGGTCATGTACTGGGAAAGACCCTTTTCTCCACGACGGGGGAGGTAACGGGAGACCCCGACCGGAGGCAGCCGTGAAGGCCTTCTCCAAAGAAGGCTTAATCCCGCGCAGCAAGGTTGATGCCGGGAAAGCCTTGTCGGACTTCTCGTCGTATACCTCGGAGGAACCCACGGAACCGTGGATTCCCCGCGGTATCGGCAGGGGCTTTGGCATGTCCTCGAAGAGGTCATACACCATGGCAACGCGGTCCTTAACCGATAGCGGAAGCAACGGTTCGGGGGAAGGACCGGTAACCACGGCAGCCGCCGCCGTACCGGTGGACCCCGCGTCCGAACCCGCGGCCACCGAAGAGGCCGGGGACGGAACAGCCAGCGGCCTATCTTGCGATAAGGCCGCCAGCTTGGAGTCCACAAGTTTCGACAATAATGCGGCGACGGAATCCCCAGACAGCCCGAGGGCCGCAAGGGGATCCGCCGCAGCCGAGGAGGTGGTACCCGCACGGGGACCCCGACCAGACGAACCGGCCACCACAGGGGTGGAGACGGACTGTACGTACAGCCGGTACCGCTCAAACTCCGCAGGCCCCAGACCTTCGCACAGGGTACACCGGGTGTCCCCGCAAGGAACCCTGCACCGCGGGAAAATGATCGTGGGGATCCCGGGATGACAAAAACTTTCTGCACACCCCACAACTCCGAGGAGCAGGGGTAGAGGGGGTGGATACTGGGGACATATCCATGTCAGACATTGTTTGCTATAAACAAAGAACAAAACATGGTTACAACGCACGCACCACAACGATTCACAAACGAGCATTTTCACAAGAAAATAAACGAGCAATGTGAACATATAACATACACATATAACTTTTATTAAAGAAATAAGTTATGTTAACCCCCAAAACATACAAGAACAGGGGAAACATAAAACACAACGTGCATACGCGAACCCCGCAAGTATATAGAAAAAAGGGCGGGAAAAATTTTCCGTTTGGCGGGAAAATTATAACCAAGCGTAGCTACCGCAACGCCCCATAAAAGCACAGTTTATTAGAGAATAAACTATAATAAATATCACCAAATCTTCAAGGAACGCTTCAGCAGGAGAAAACACGTCTTGCTAAGCAGACGAAGGAGACAAGAGTGAAGGGTGTCACATGGCAGCTAGGTGGCTACGCACGTGCTGCATGAGGTAATTGAGATCTCTGTGGTAGATTTCGCTATAGCAGCAGTTGTGGGAGACAACAGCCTCGGTATAACAGTGGTAACGTATTACTTAATGTAATTTGGAAACATAGACAATTCAAAGGCCGGATACATTCAATGTGACTCACCCTGACATCACCTCCAGGTGCAGCTGGCCAGATACGTTCAAGTATGTTGGACATTTAAAGAAGTGATTGGCCTCACGGTCTCCTTCCACTGGTTGTGTCAGCTGAGAGTTGGCAGGCTGTGAACAAGGGAAGAACAACCCCACTCACAGGCTGCTCGACACATTTCAATCACTGTCATCAGCTGCTTACAGGCATTACATTACAATCAGTATCGTATAGTATATCACATTTACATATATAGGATATAACATGACCTTCAATTTCATATCAGATTTATGTGCCAAGTGATATAATTTTCAGTATTTCTTTCAAACTTAACACTTACTTCCACGTAGAATACCTCCCTTGACTGATGTCTTGACTGATGTAGGGTTAATACTTACTTCCACATGGAAGACCTCCCTTGTCTGATGTAGGGTTAACACTTCCATGTGGAAGACTTCCATTGTCTGCTGTAGGGTTAACACTTACTTCCACTTGGAAGACCGCCCTTGTCTGCTGTAGGGTTAACACTTCCATGTGGAAGACCTCCCTTGTCTGCTGTCTGGTTAACACTTACTTCCACGTGGAATACCTCCCTTGACTGATATAGGGTTAACGCTTACTTCTACATTGAAGACCTCACTTGGCTGCTGTAGGGTTAACACTTACTTTCACGTGGAAGACCTCCCATGTCTGATGTATGGTTAACACTTCCACGTGGAAGACTGCCCTTGTCTGCTGTAGGGTTAACACTTACTTCCATGGGGAAGACCTCCATTGTCTGCTGTAGGGTTAACACTTGCTTCCATGGGGAATACCTCCCTTGTCTGATGTAGGGTTAACACTTACTTCCATGGGGAAGACCTCCATTGTCTGCTATAGGGTTAACACTTACTTCCACGTGGAATACCTCCCTTGACTGATGTAGGGTTAACACTTGCTTCCGCGTGGACGACTGCCCTTGTCTGCTGTAGGGTTAACACTTACTTCCACGTGGAAGACCTCCCTTGTCTTATGTAGGGTTAACACTTACTTCCACGTGGAAGACCTTCCTTGACTGATGAAGGGTTAACACTTACTTCCATGGGGAAGACCTCCATTGTCTGCTGTAGGGTTAACACTTACTTCCACATGGAAGACCTCCCTAGTCTGATGTAGGGTTAACACTTGCTTCCACGTGGAAGACCTCCCTTGTCTTATGTAGGGTTAACACTTACTTCCACGTGGAAGACCTCCCTTGTCTGATGTAGGGTTAACACTTACTTCCACGTGGAAGACCTCCCTTGTCTTATGTAGGGTTAACACTTCCACGTGGAAGACCTCCCTTGTCTGATGTAGGGTTAACACCTCCATGTGGAAGACCTCCCTTGTCTGCTGTAGGGTTAACACTTACTTCCATGTGGAAGACCTCCCTTGTCTGCTGTAGGGTTAACACTTGCTTCCACGTGGAAGACTGCCCTTGTCTGCTGTAGGGTTAACACTTACTTCCACGTGGAAGACCTCCCTTGTCTTATGTAGGGTTAACCCTTCCATGTGGAAGACCTCCATTGTCTGCTGTAGGTTCAACACTTACTTCCACATAAAAGACCTCCCTAGTCTGATGTAGGGTTAACACTTGCTTCCACGTGGAAGACCTCCCTTGTCTGCTGTAGGGTTAACACTTCCACGTGGAAGACCTCCCTTGACTGATGTAGGATTAACGCTTACTTCTTCATGGAAGACCTCCCTTGACTGATGTATGGTTGACACTTCCACGTGGAAGACTGCCCTTGTCTGCTGTAGGGTTAACATTTACTTACTTCCATGTGGAAGACTGCCCTTGTCAGCTGTAGGGTTAACACTTACTTTCCATGTGGAAGACCTCCCTTGACTGATGTAGGGTTAACACTTACTTCCACGTGGAAGACCTTCATTGTCTGCTGTAGGGTTAACACTTACTTCCACGTGGAAGACCTCCCTTGTCTTATGTAGGGTTAACACTTACTTCCAACTGGAATACATCCCTTGTCTGATGTAGGGTTAACACTTACTTCCACGTGGAAGACCTCCATTGTCTGCTGTAGGGTTAACACTTACTTCCACGTGGAAGACCTCCCTAGTCTGATGTAGGGGTTAACACTTGCTTCCATGTGGAAGACTGCCCTTGTCTGCTGTAGGGTTAACACTTACTTCCCTGTGGAAGACTGCCCTTGGCTGCTGTAGGGTTAACACTTACTTCCACGCAGAAGACCTCGCCTGCTCCCTCACAGTCACTGGATGTCAAGATGGGCGTGTGGATCTGACAGAAGCCATTTTCCTGAAACAGTACGATAGAGTAACTGGTTTAGGGTGGACTATGAGAGTGTAGGGTCCAAAGAACTTACTGGAATAGGGCCCAAAAGATAAGGGCAGGATCCATGAGACTCTGATGGTGTAGGGTCCAAAAGACTGGCCTAGGTTATGATCCAAGGGACTGCGCAACAGTTGGGTCCAAGAGAGTCAAGGTTAGGGTCCAAAAGACTGGCCTAGGTTATGATCCAAGGGACTGCGCAACAGTTGGGTCCAAGAGAGTCAAGGTTAGGGTCCAAAAGACTGGCCTAGGTTAGGATCAAAGGGACTGGGCTACAGTCGGGTACAAGAGAGTCAAGGTTAGGGTCCAAAAGACTGGCCTAGGTTAGGATCAAAGGGACTGGGCTACAGTCGGGTCCAAGAGAGTCAAGGTTAGGGTCCAAAAGACTGGCCTAGGTTAGGATCAAAGGGACTGGGCTACAGTCGGGTCCAAGAGAGTCATGGTTAGGGTCCAAAAGACTGGCCTAGGTTAGGATCAAAGGGACTGGGCTACAGTCGGGTCCAAGAGAGTCATGGTTAGGGTCCAAAAGACTGGCCTAGGTTAGGATCAAAGGGACTGGGCTACAGTCGGGTACAAGAGAGTCAAGGTTAGGGTCCAAAAGACTGGCCTAGGTTAGGATCCAAGGGACTGCGCAACAGTCGGGTCCAAGAGAGTCAAGGTTAGGGTCCAAAAGACTGGCCTAGGTTAGGATCCAAGGGACTGGGCTACAGTCAGTTCGAAGAGAGTCGTTCAAATGAGCTTGTGGACAAAGCATAGGGCAAGAATTTGAACCTAGAGACATAGAATATGATGTTTACCTGGAAGTATTTGTGGAAGGCCATGGTGGCTTGACTCCTGATCCTCAACAATGAACTGAAGGTGTTTGTGCGTGGTCGGAGATGGGGATATGTGCGGATGTAATCTGCAGAGTGCTTCTTCCTCGCTTTGAAGGGAAATTCCTACAACATTCAAAACAAAGGTAACTAAAGGACAACAGAGACATGTGCCTGTCAACACAACACCCTATAAATTAAAGGAGGACGTTAGGGAGTCACACAACTGATGAAGCTACGACCATCGTAAGTCTGTGTCAGTATACCTAGGTCTGGTCAGATACCAGTGATGTGGGTCACCAGGTCAAGTCCTTGGTTTCAGAAAACTTGCAAAGAAGAAACACAAGTGTCAGATATGTAGTCAAAGTGGGAGAAGATTCTTACCACAGGATCACAAGGTCCCAAAACTTGCAGTCTGTGTGCTGCCACCTCCACCATCTGCCCTGGATGTGAGCTCTCAACCAGTCTGCCCTCCACGGACACACAGCACCCATAGGTCACATCACTGCAACGACACACGTGACATCACTGCAACAACACACATAACAACACACACACACCATGCACCTGACACACCCACTGACACACCCACATCATATACCATGTATCTCCACCATCTGCCCTCCACGGACACACAGCACCCATAGGTCACATCACTGCAACAACACATGAAACACCACTGCAACAACACATGTAACATCACTGCAACAACACATGTAACATCACTGCAACAACACATGTTAAACCACTGCAACAACACATGTAACATCACTGCAACAACACATGTTAAACCACTGCAACAACACATGTAACACCACTGCAACAACACATGTTAAACCACTGCAACAACACATGTAACATCACTGCAACAACACATGTAACACCACTGCAACAACACATGTAACATCACTGCAACAACACATGTAACACCACTGCAACAACACATGTAACATTGCTGCAACAACACATGTAACACCACTGCAACAACACATGTAACATTGCTGCAACAACACATGTAACACCGCTGCAACAACACATGTAACATTGCTGCAACAGCACATGTGACATCACTGCAACAACACATGTAACATTGCTGCAACAACACATGTAACATTGCTGCAACAGCACATGTGACATCACTGTGACATCACTGCAACAACACACATAACAACACACACACACCATGTACCATGCATCTCCACCATCTGCCCTGTGTGTGAGCTCTCAACCAGTCTGCCCTCCACGGACACACAGCACCCATAGGTCACATCACTGCAACAACACATGTAACACCACTGCAACAACACACATAACACACACACACCATGCACCTGACACACCCACTGACACACCCACATCATGTACCATGTATCTCCACCATCTGCCCTCCACGGACACACAGCACCCATAGGTCACATCACTGCAACAACACATGTAACACCACTGCAACAACACATGTAACACCACTGCAACAACACATGTAACATCACTGCAACAACACATGAAACACCACTGCAACAACACATGTAACATCACTGCAACAACACATGAAACACCACTGCAACAACACATGTAACACCACTGCAACAACACATGTAACATCACTGCAACAACACATGTAACACCACTGCAACAACACATGTAACACCACTGCAACAACACATGTAACATCGCTGCAACAACACATGTAACACCACTGCAACAACACATGTAACATTGCTGCAACAACACATGTAACACCACTGCAACAACACATGTAACATTGCTGCAACAGCACATGTGACATCACTGCAACAACACACATAACAACACACACACACCATGTACCATGCATCTCCACCATCTGCCCTGTGTGTGAGCTCTCAACCAGTCTGCCCTCCACGGACACACAGCACCCATAGGTCACATCACTGCAACAACACATGTAACATCACTGCAACAACACATGTAACACCACTACAACAACACATGTAACACCACTGCAACACCACACGTGACATCACTGCAACAACACATGTAACACCACTGCAACACCACACATAACAACACACACACACACCATGTACCTGACACACCCACTTCATGCACCTGACACACCCACTGACACACCCACATCATGTACCATGTATCTCCACCATCTGCCCTGTCTGTTAGCTCTCAACCAGACTGCCCTCCATGGACACATGTAACAATGCTGCAACAACACATGGAACACCACTGTAACAACACATTAACATCGGTGCTACAACACAGGTAACACCACTGCAACAACACATTACCATTGCTGCAACAACACATATAACAACAGACGTAACACCACATGTAACATTGCTGCAACAAAACATGTGACAACACATGTGACATCACTGCAACAACACATGTAACATCACTGCAACAACACATGTATAATCGTTGCAACAACACATGAAACACCACTGCAACAACACATGTAACATCGCTGCAACAACACACAAAACACCACTGTAACAACACATGTAACATCGCTACAACAACACACAAACACCATGTACCTGACACACCCACTTAATGCACCTAACACAGCCACTTCATATATCTGCCACACCCACTTCATGTACCCGACACCAACTTCATGTACCAGACACACCCACTCCATGTACCATACACACCCACTCCATGTACCAGACACACCCACTCACACACCCACTTCATGTACCCGACACCAACTTCATGCACTTAACACACCCACTTCATGCACCTGACACATCCCACTGACACACCCACTTCATGTACCCGACACCAACTTCATGCACTTGACACACCCACTTGATGCACCTGACACACCCACTTCATGTACCTGACAACCCCACTTCATGCACCAGACACATCAACTGACACACCCACTGCATTCACCTGACACACTCACTGCATTTACCTGACACACCCACTTTATGGACCTGACACACCCACTTCATGCACCTGACACACCCACTGACACACCCACTTCATTCACCTGACACACTCACTGCATTTACCTGACACACCCACTGATACACTCACTTCATGCACCTGACACACCCACTGACACACCCACTTCATTCACCTGACACACTCACTGCATGTACCTGACACACCCACTGATACACTCACTTCATGCACCTGACACACCCACTGACACACTGACCCACTGACACATCAACTGACACCCGCACTTCATGCACATGACTCCCCCACTTCATGCACCTGACACACCCACTGGTACACCCACTTCATTCACCTGACACATCAACTGGCACCCCAATTTCATGTACCTGACACACCAACTGATACACTCACTTCATGCACCAGACACATCAACTGACACACCCACTTCATTCACCTGACACCCCCACTTCATGCACCTGACACATCAACTGACAACCCCATTTCATGCACCTGACGTCCCCACTTCATGCACCAGACACATCAACTGACACACCCACTTCATTCACCTGACACACCCACTGACACACCAACTTCATTCACCTGACACACTCACTGCATGTACCTGACACGCCCACTTCATTCACCTGACACACTCACTTCATGCACCTGACACACCCACTGACCCACCAACTTCATTCACCTGACACACTCACTTCATGCACCGGACACACCCACTGACACACCCACTTCATTCACCTGACACACTAACTTCATGTACCTGACTCACCCACTGACCCACCCACTTCATGCACCTGACACACTGACTTCATGTACCTGACATACCCACTTCATTCACCTGACACACCCACTGACCCACCCACTTCATGTACCTGACACACCCACTGACCAACCCACTTCATGCACCTGACTCACCCACTGACCCACCCACTTCATGTACCTGACTCACCCACTGACCCACCCACTTCATGCACCTGACACACTGACTTCATGTACCTGACACACCCACTGACCCACCCACTTCATTCACCTGACACACTCACTTCATGCACCTGACACACCCACTGACCCACCAACTTCATTCACCTGACACACTCACTTCATGCACCGGACACACCCACTGACACACCCACTTCATTCACCTGACACACTAACTTCATGTACCTGACTCACCCACTGACCCACCCACTTCATTCACCTGACACACTCACTTCATGCACCTGACACACCCACTGACCCACCAACTTCATTCACCTGACACACTCACTTCATGCACCGGACACACCCACTGACACACCCACTTCATTCACCTGACACACTCACTTCATGTACCTGACTCACCCACTGACCCACCCACTTCATTCACCTGACACACTCACTTCATGTACCTGACACACCCACTGATACACTCACTTCATGCACCTGACACACCCACTGACACACCCACTGACACACCCACTTCATTCACCTGACACACCCACTTCATTCACCTGACACACTCACATCATTCACCTGACACACTCACTTCATGCACCTGACACATCAACTGGCACCCCCATTTCATGCACCTGACACACCCACTTCATGCACCTGACACCCCCACTTCATGCATCTGACACATCAACTAAAAACCCCATTTCATGCACCTGACGTCCCCACTTCATGCACCTGACACACACACTGACACACCCACTTCATGCACCTGACACACTCACTGCATGTACCTGACACTCCCGCTTCATTCACCTGACACACTCACTGCATGCACCTGACACACCCACTTCATGCACCTGACACACCCACTGACACACAAACTTCATTCACCTGACACACTCACTGCATGTACCTGACACCCCCACTTCATTCACCTGACACACTCACTTCATGCACCTGACACACCCACTGACCCACCAACTTCATTCACCTGACACACTCACTTCATGCACCGGACACACCCACTGACCCACCCACTTCATTCACCTGACACACTCACTTCATGCACCTGACACACCCACTGATACACCCACTTCATTCACCAGACCCACTCACTTCATGTACCTGACACACCCACTGATACACTAACTTCATGCACCTGACACACTCACTTCATGCACCTGACACACCCACTGATACACTCACTTTATGTACCTGACCCACTCACTTCATGCACCTTACACACCTACTTCATGCACTTGACACACCCACTGATCAGGGTTTCAGATGGCCCTCGGTCACCAGTCATAGACCGATAAACTTTCTATTTGACCGATGGTTTGTTTAAGTTGTCAGACTTTTGACCGATAGAAATGCTAAGCAAGGCATCACACGTGTCATAATTTCATGATTAAATAGTAAATAGTAAGGATTATTTTGGAGCCATCGATTTTGCCAATCGAGACTCAGTTTTCCTTGTGTCTGGGGGATGGGGGGGTGAAGTTGATGGCAGTATTGCTCCCAGACCCGGTGGGTAGCTGGGTGTGCGGAAGCTATGCCCGACTTTTTAAAAGTACTGATTTAACTTCGAAATTTTACTGCATCCGGCATCTTTGTTTAAGTGACCTATTGACTTTTGCCACTGACTTATTAATTTCTTCGGTCCAAGTCATTGACCTGTATACAGCTTTTTGTGTCAAAATCACTGCTGATACACTAACTTCATGTACCTGACCCACCCACTTCATGCACCTGACACACCCACTGATACACTCACTTCATGTACCTGACACACCCACTGACCCACCCACTTCATTTACCTGACCCACTCACTTCATTCACCTGACCCACTCACTTCATGTACCTGACACACCCACTGACCCACCCACTTCATTCACCTGACACACCCACTTCATGCACCTGACACACCCACTGATACACTCACTTCATGTACCTGACACACTCACTTCATGCACCTGACACACCCACTGATACACTCACTTCATGTACCTGACACACTCACTTCATGCACCTGACACACCCACTGATACACTCACTTCATGTACCTGACACACCCACTGACCCACCCACTTCATTCACCTGACACACTCACTTCATTCACCTGACCCACTCACTTCATGTACCTGACACACCCACTGACCCACCCACTTCATTCACCTGACACACCCACTTCATGCACCTGACACACCCACTGATACACTCACTTCATGTACCTGACACACTCACTTCATGCACCTGACACACCCACTGATACACTCACTTCATGTACCTGACACACCCACTGATACACTCACTTCATGTACCTGACACACTCACTTCATGCACCTGACACACCCACTGATACACTCACTTCATGCACCTGACACACCCACTGATACACTCACTTCATTTACCTGACACACCCACTTCATGCACCTTACACACCCACTTCATGCACTTGACACACCCATATATTACAAACATATATCAAAGGGACCTTTATAACAGCACAAACCTGCCACAAAGACTTGGATCTGCCACAACCTGGAGTGGTTTGACACAGGAGCCATCTGAGACATGCAAGAAGATGACATCACGATGTCCACGTAGTGCTCGGACCCATCCCTGAAACATATCTCACAGGGTAAGTGTTCAACTTCACCTTTTCAGACTTATCATTTCTTTCTGGAAATACTTAGCATGACACACGGTTGCATCTAACTTACCACACCTTATTTAGGTAAATCAAAAATGATTCTTTAACATTAAGATAACATCTACTAGTCCTGTGAACATATGTCATAAGCGAACGTTTTTTCATGACAGGCAGCAGTCTTACAGCTGTCATCATGGCATCAATCTGGCCCAATTTAAACCAGTGGAGTACGTTGGTTCAACATCACTTTGAACAGTATTCCTGTTATATTATGGCGTGTCATCTTAATATCATGATATAACATTTATACTAAGTTAAGCAGAAGCGGTTTGACCCTCATACCAAGCAGGCCTCTCTCCCACAGCCCAGAGGGTTGTACCGACTCTTTGTGGCACCCTCAGCTATATTCTAAGATATTGTAAATTGTTCATTGTTAATTGTTCTTGTAAATAAAATTGTGATTGGTCTCCTGTGATTCCGGCTCTTTGCTGACTAATTCCCCCAAGAAAACCAGCACGCCATTTGCATGATTTGGAAGGTTTTGTTCATCCGAACAGAACCATAATATTGATGTGAGAGGAAAGACCATAGTGATGCAGGTCTTAGAAGTTTACCACTTTGGTAAAACCCATGAGCACAGGTTTGGTGTTGACAAACCAAGACACAAAACTGGGGCTAAAGCACGATCATGTTTCTGGCATGCCCCAGGGATGCAACTCTGCACAGCAAATTGCAGCGCCTTAGATGACCGGGCACCCTCCCACCCCACGTGCCCCAAAGCCACTGGATGACAGCTAGCATGATCAGCCATCCAGACCATCACATTGTAACCACCTGATCCTCAGCAGTCTTACAAACCCTGGAACCTTGTTTCAGTGTTCAGAATCTCAGCAAAGGAATGCTTCATTATTACAGATTTACAGATTCAGGTGAGGTGGAAAATAAATAAAAGAGAAATAAAGAACAAACTTCAAAAGTGTTATATTGTCTCAAAATATATTTTGACCAAGTATAGTTAAGGAGGTACCTACCTATGACTGTTTTTCGCACAACTCATTACTCATTACTTACTTACAATGCTTGAAAGCGTGTTGTTTGTTTCCTTATTACCACCCTCCCAGTGGTAATATTGAATAGTGGGGCAGTGGTTTATTTACTCTGCTGTTTGGCGTTTTACAAGTTAAATATCACAAAATATGGACCACTACTAACTAAATATGTAAAAACTTTCATTACATTTGGAATAAAGGTGAGTAAATGCCATCATGGCCATAAACAGCTTTTTCAATATGGCTGCCACTGTGGCCTAACTGAAAATGAGATTCGAACCTCTTGAAGAAATTGGGGTGTTATCATTGGCGGGAGCATGCATGTGGAGTTTCAGCTTCATGGATCCTATGCTTCCTGAACAGAAGATGTTTAAGAAGATTGAGGCATGATTCTCTATTGTTTCCAACATGGCAGTTAGCCTCTGTCCCTTTCCATTTGAGTGCAGATTTTTTTACTATTCTAAAAATCAAAGATGGCTACCTGGCAATCATATTAAAATTCTGACTTTAATACTTTGAATAAACTTGTCCAGTAGGAGATCTCTACTGACAAACATCAACATAATATTTCACCTCAACCCCTCTTGCCATTTCTGAGGAGAAATTGAAAGTGTCAAACATTTAGGGAGGAAAATGTACAATTTGCGATGACAAGCTCACATGGTGTTTCAGGCTAAAAACATAAAATATGCTCTAAAATATAACAATGTACAATGAATGCTCCCCTAATCGATTTGGGGTCAGTTAAAGGGGTACTAATCTCGGCTTCTTCTCGGCTGTCTAACATTGCCTGCTAGGGCTCACTAGCTGTCGTGAGTGTGTTAGAGACTGGACTACCGTCTGTAAGGACAGCGTAAATAAACTTTGAGGCAATATCTGTTTTTTGCATTTTTGAACACTGAGTGGTTACATGTGATCTATGAAGATTTCGAAAAAGGGCACATGTTAATTAATTTTAACCTAAACAAACAGACAAAAAGAATGGTGGAAGTTCATTGGATGTCGTTATTTGGAAATACCCCTGATGGTTATAGTTTAATCATTTTATAAAAAAGAATCCCTGCAGTGAAAGCATATTCAAATTTTGGATTGTGGGGATAATATGATTGCAACCTCTTGTCGTCATCCATGTTTCCGGGTATAGCCCTACACCTGTGTATTTGTTGATATTTGCTTGAACCTCCGCTAATGAATTTATTACAGATATAATTAGTGGTAGCACATTTGGCATTTCTTGTGTCTTGGGTAATTATATAATCTAAATCCATGTTTGATTTGAGGTGAAATGTTCGTTATGTAATATGCACGAGGCTGCGCAGCAAGAGGAATGATCAGTTGATTTATTTTTGGGTCGCAAACTAGTTTAGATTTCTGCTATATCATCCGGGTATTCTGGGGGAAAAAACAATAACAAAGGCAACAACCAGTCCCGGGGAATTGCTGTAGATCAATGCCCCTTTACAGCGTTCGCTCGTTACACCGAAGGCCCGGGTTCAATTCCCGCCATGGGTAAAATGTGTGACGCCCATATCGGGTGTCCCAAGCCATGATATTGCTGGAACATTGCTAAAAGCGGTGTAAAAACAAACTCACTCACACACCTAAGCGATTTTCTCTTCAGGTGCATTAAAGTTTCTCTAGGTAGTCACAATTTTATGAATAACAACTTCTTTAATATGATTTAGCGTTGTTTAGCTAAATCGGTTTATGGTCAGCTCCGCATAACAAATACTAGTAACTATTCCCATTTACCATTTTCCACCATTTGTTTAAAAACATACTCCTCTCACAAGACCCGCCAAAATACTCCCCATGGCAACCATACGTCATTTCTCCCATGACATCACTACCCTTGGTCTCATGACGTCACTACTTTTACTCCCCAACCATTAAGTCATTCTAACAACACAACGTGTCCGGCGGTTAGCATTTCACCTCTTCCCCCACCCCCCAAAGCACCCCAATTGTCAGGTTGCACCTTTTTTCCACAGTGAACGACATTGTACAAAGTCTTATCAAGTTTATAAATGTATCGTTCTTATTGCTGTTAATCTATTTCAATAAATTTGGTACAGTGGGCATGGTGCAGTTGGGGTGTTTGGTTTAACACCATGCTGGTGTGTGTACGATACTCTGGCTGCCTGCTAACTACAGCGAGAGCCCAAATTCTTCTGCCCGCTGTTTCCGCAGGGGGAGTGACAGTATCTTTGCTGTGGGTCCTGTCTGCCAAGCACGGTGGAGGGACAACTTGACCCGCGATAGGGTCTGTATGCGATTTCTAGTCCGCGGTAGGACCTTGCTTATCGCCCCCGACTGCATCATCCACACTCTGCCCATTATATCTCACAAAACATCATTGTTTGTGAATCTTTCCATCTAAGGTAGTCTGAACATAATAGTGTAAAAAGCGACGTTTCGGTATAGATCGTTATATAGTTGTCAAGCACGACTTTTACAATATTAAAGAAGTGGTTATTCATGAAATTGTGTCTACCTTGTCATCCGTCAACTTCTAAGTAATGCCTATCAAACAATTTAAATTTTCTCCTTCGTACCTTAACTTTGACATTGTCTTGAATCAGTGACTTTTCGAGCATACGTGCTATTGATTGCTTTGCAAAACTATAGCACCTATAGCTGTATCCCATTCCCTTGCATATGCGTAGAAGTGGATTTATGGTTGCAAATCTTGATTTCCATAAGTTTGTCAATGGCGCGGCCATCTTGAAACAACATAACAGTGCAGCAGCGAATCGGATTTACTCGTCGAAACTTTCACGTTCTTTCAAGGTCATGTAAATTGATATTGTTGGCGGTTTATTGAAATATGATGTTCCTAATAGGAAATGTGTTTTAAAGTCTATTGGTAAAAATGTTTGGATTTATTTCGACATATTTCAGCCAATGAAATAAGCTTAGTTCACATAAGTCAGTGCGGAGCGCATGTCATGTGAGGAAGTGAAGTTCGATGAATAGTTTACTTATATGCACCTAAAAAATGGGATGTTGCTACAGTAGTGACGACGATAAAGATGACGGGGTAATTATGCCGACGACCCTGATAACTTTTAACCACCACAAAAGATCTGTCTGGCGGTCATGTTAACGTTCTATGGGAATGGGATGCTGTGTTCTCATACCTGTTATTTGTCCCGACTTCCCTGTTTACATTACACACGCCTCCCAGATGTATTTAAAGCTGACATTGGCATTATTGTTTTACAGTGTCGGAAAAGATGTGGTTGATTGATTAACGGATTTTTTTTATACATGGGCGATTAGCCCTCCCAGCGCCTCCTCTTACTGGTGCAGCTATCATAAGGTTATGGCTGAACCTGATCAGGCGGCACTGGCGGTCTCATGCACCAACTGTTTGTCCAGAAATGGGTCCTCATGTTCATCATGTTCATATTAGAATGGATAAAGAAAGCAGTAAATCATCATCAGCACAAAGTTGCAGTTTTGATATTAGTTGTGAATAAGAAAAGCAAATCTTACATGAGCATGTTTAAATCTGAATCTAAACCCTTCTTGACAATTGCATGAAGATTCATGTCAATAATCTGAGCTGTCACTGAGAATAGAGAAAGAGGCCAGTTTACTTAGATGATATATGTGCTTTAAATAATACCAACATTCGCTTCCTAATGAAAGCAAGTATATTAATTACGACTGTTGCAATCATCTTGTTGGTAATTATTTAAACATTACGTTATAAAAGAATGTATAAACACATGATAAATGTAGAATTTGTTTCATTTTCCTAAGCACTTTGTTTAAATATCAATTAGACTTTATACTATGATAGTAGGTTGATCATCATTTAGTTATTGAACAATTATTCCATCATCCACTCCAGCTCTACATAACCGTAGATTATGATGTACATGCAGCTATGGGTTTGTTCCATGTTTGTCAGTTGTTCTATTTGCTAGTATGCACATTCGAATTTATCATGTTGTCTTCCTAAATCTGTTGGTTTGAATCTTTGTTTAGGAATCCATACACAATTTACTCTCATGGAATGAAGTACCGTATTTTCTTGAGTATAGTGCGCACCCATGTATAATGCGCACCCATGTATAATGCGCACCCCCCTCTAGCGAGTTCAGTATTTTGGAGAAAAAAAATTCGAAAAAAAATTACACCGTACCCCTTCAGCGAAGTCCGGCAAAGGAACGGGTGAATTTGAGATAAAAAAATCACCAGACATGTTGATTTACCGTTTAAATAGTATTTATTGTTCTGCTAGGATTGTTTTATATCCAGGGATTAAGATTACCTTGTGTATTTTCTCGTAAACTAAGCAGGGAACAGCAATCAGCTGTACACACGTTTTCTTGGAATGGACCGGTGATTCGGTCAAGACACACCAAATGATATAACTTTACAGAATTTTTATGCAAGGATCGGCAAAAATTGTATCTGAAACTATTTTTTTTATCAGGAATAATATATTCCAATATATTGTTAATTTAGATGCAGCTTTTACCATGTTTACTAAACATATTTAAAATAATAATAACCCTAAGCGAAGCAGCTCATCGCTATTCCTTGGTATTTTTTTTTAAACATGGAACCAGTCTGACCAGTCACCGTCAAGGCTCACGCGCATGTGATCGCGAGAATTACATGTTGACATAGAATCGTCAAACAAAAACAAATATGACTTTTAACGAGTCAAAGTATGGCATTTATGATATATGTATCCATTCTCTGTCAACTAAAGTTCGTTTCAAGGCGTCAATAGCGGTAATCTGACAGTGGTTGCTGTTGATAACAATAAGTTGTGCGATCTTCCGATCGCTTCACACACGATTTCGCCGAAACTAATAAAAACAATATTTTGAATAAAATTAATGAAATAAGTTACAAACATAAGTCCAGATATACAAAGAACACTTTTTCTAGCCAGACAGTGTAATTACATGATTAATTTGCGTACTTCAGTATGGATTTGTTGACATGGTATTTCCGGTGTTTCGTGCTCACGGTAATGTCTTTCCATGGGGGGAAAAAACATCCAAACTCATAATTCGTGTATAATGCGCACCCCCTTCTACACAGCTGTGTTTTTTGGAAAAAAAGTGCGCACTATACTCAAGAAAATACGGTATTTAAGAGGTTGAGGTTGAGAAAGGTGCACCAATTTTATGAATTTGTATTGATTTTGTAGCCATCCTGAGAAGTTCCCATTTGTCACACTGTACTGTTGGCTGCCATAGCGCAGGTAGTAGTGACAGTATAGGACAGCTGATAATGGGGGGACACAGTAACCATGGTAACTGCACCTAGACTGTTATGTGAGGTAGTGTGGTGAAGTGGGATAGTAGGATCACTACAATGTCAAAAACAAATTCTTCATTAGACTGTCCTCATTCTAGAATCCAAGTATTTCGGAAGTCTGTAGGTTAATGCCTCCTGACAACTGTTGATAACCCGTACACAAATCTGGATGTAAATTGTGATACACTAATCAATGTTAAAAATTCAGTGAAACAATCTGTGATCATTTAACAATCTTTGTGTTCATTTGTTAATGTATATGTAGAGTGTTAGTATTTTTGTATTTGGTGAGTCTTGTATTCATACAGAATGAGAATTGTCACAAATAGTATTCACTATGAATCCCATGGGATGCCAAGAAGGATGGCTGTAGGAATTGCGATTAATTAACAATGGCTTACTAAAACATATAACTGATATTTTGATGACATTTTATGAAAAGGGATAGAAAGGTCGGCTTGTTTATAATTTCCTGCAAGGCTTTACTGTAACTTTGTGTGGCCGGGAAATCAGAACTGCATACCGTTTTTTAGCCTTAAAGAAAATTATTGTAATTTTGAGTGTTTCTTTTCCCAGCTCATCAGTCCTACGGAGAGAACTCGTCTCCTCAACCCGTCCCCTCCTGACCACAATCAGCCAATACCTGGGTAAGTCAACTCACCTGATCACAATCAACCAATACCTGGGTAAATCAACTCACCTGATCACAATCAACCAATACCTGGGTAAGTCAACTCACCTGATCACAATCCACCAATACCTGGGTAAATCAACTCACCTGATCACAATCAACCAATACCTGGGTAAGTCAACTCACCTGATCACAATCAACCAATACCTGGGTACGTCAACTCACCTGATCACAATCAACCAATACCTGGGTAAGTCAACTCTCCTGGTCACAATCAGCCAATACCTGGGTAAGTCAACTCACCTGATCACAATCAACCAATACCTGGGTAAGTCAACTCTCCTGGTCACAATCAACCAATACCTGGGTAAGTCAACTCACCTGATCACAACCTAGGTAAGTCAACTCACCTGATCACAATCAACCAATACCTGGGTAAGTCAACTCACCTGATCACAATCAGCCAATACCTGGGTAAGTCAACTCACCTGATCACAATCAACCAATATGTGGGTAAGTCAACTCACCTGATCACAACCTGGGTAAGTCAACTCACCTGATCACAATCAGCCAGTACCTGGTTTCTAGAGGAAACCTAGTGTTGTCTGTGGTATAAAGTTGCCACCCTGTGAGTGGCTAGGGAGAACAAATGCATCATTCCAGTATTTGCTGAGATGCAATTGATCAGTGAGGTGTATGCACTCATTGTATGGTAGAAACAAAAGTCAGTTTATTGAGGGGAGTTTTCTAATCAACTGTGACAATGCCCCAGTGAGCTGTTTGATGCGGGACACAGCCAGTTCCAGCATGTCAGCAGCCATGGCATAGTCTGGAGGCAGTGTCTGTGTTACCTGTACTAGTTCTCCCAATACAGTGATAGTTAACAGAATTAATACCTGGTGGTCATGGTTACAGAGAGCGGAGTGGGTCCCAGTACACCCAGGCATCACAGAAGGGCGACGAGCAGTCGGCACTGAGCCGCATCCTCAACAAGACTGCCCGGTGAGTCCCTGCATGCACGAGTAACTAGACAGCCGGAGATGTTGGACGTATGTGTGACAGAATGAGATATTTGACAATGTGACGTATGTGTGAAAGGCTGAGATGTTTGACAATGTGACGTATGTGTGAAAGGCTGGGATGTTTGACAATGTGACGTATGTGTGAAAGGCTGGGATATTTGACAGTGTGACAAATGTGTGATAGGGTGAGATGTTTGACAGTGGGATGGGTGTGTGAAAGGCAGAGATATTTGACAGTGACATTGTGACGTATGTGTGACAGTATGAGATATTTGACAGTGGGATATATGTGACGCATGTGTGACAGTGGGACGTATGTGTGACATCATGAGATATTTGACTGTGTGACGTATGTGTTACAGCATGAGATATTTGACAGTGGGACGTATGTATTACAGCATGAGATATTTGACAGTGTGACATATGTGTGAAAGCGAAGATATTTGACTGTGTGACGTATGTGTGACAGGATGAGATATTTGACAGTACTACCGTATATGACCGCGTATAAGCCGAATTTTGAGGACCAGAAAAAAGATTCTGTAGAAAGGGGTCGGCTTATCCACGGGATACACTTTCATGATAGTATTCTGTCAGAAACATCGCCTGAATGACGGTCCGATAGACGGTCCGAAAGTCTGGAAGTTGCCGCTACCAGAGCCAATATTGTTATAAATTATCAATAAAGTTATTATTATACACCAATGTTGTCTTTTTTTAAAAATGTTATGCATGTTACTACTTCCGATAATAAGTTTTCAATTGAATTTTTCTTTCTTCATAAACTCCACAATCTTTACATGTAACAATATATGTAATCCACAGCTATAATATATAATCCACAGGTGAAATCACCAGTAGCTATTATGTACGTTTTGCAAAGTTCATAAATTGATACTGAACAAGTATCTACCTTTATTGAAAGAGGCAAATAAACAACTGTAACGGCGAGTTATTCCATTCGCCATTTGCAAAAACATGTGATCAGCTGTTTCCTGTGACGTCACAAACGGTGACCACTGTGATTGCTTCCTGTTGTTTAAAAAGCAACACGGTACACAAGCAAATGAGGACTGGTAATAACAGGCCGATTGGTATTGTCATGTTGTTTACACAAACATTTTCAAGTTGTGGGTACTTAGCAATCGTGTTGGGAGTAGAGGCTTAATTCCTTTGTTTTCGAGAGATTAGTTTAATAAACTGGAGAAGCCTGTGAGTAAGTGATGGTCATTCAATGTGTTCATAGTTTATTTAATTCAATTGGATTAACATACAATAGGCGCGGCAATGTTTGAAGTTGAATTGAAGCAAATTGGTGAGTTACTGCATAGGTGTATAAACGTTGGAATATTTTTATTGAGGTATTCTCATCATGAGTTCAAATGAGAGGAAAGTTAGAAATTGGAGGAAAGAAAAGACGGCACTAACATTTGTTGGTACATTTTCTCACGGGTTCATAATTCTATATACGCCGATTCACAAAATGGCGCTTCGTTGTTGATGGCAACAAAAAACGATCATAATGAGATTAAAAAAAAAAAGAGTAACAGCTTCCCACATTATGAAAGTAGATGACTGGTTTGTTAAATCTTCATTAGAAAAAATAATGACTTTCAATATAATTACAACGTTTTTCATCTTATATTATTGAATATCTGCTAGTACCAGCACATGTCTTGCAATCCGACTTCGCAGTGTCTTTTGCCTTTTACTTCCTGGTTAGGCTTATCTGCCGGTCATATCATTTTCTTTCGTATTTCAATGGTCAAGTTAACACCTCGGCTTATGTATGGGGTTGCCTTATCTGCGGTCATATACGGTATGTATTTGTGACAGGCAAAGATATTGACCGTGTGACGTATGTGTGAAAGCATGAGATATTTGACAGTGTGACGTATGTGTGACAGGATGAGATATTTGACAGTACTATGTATGTGACAGGCAAAGATATTTAACCGTGTGATGTATGTGTTAGAGCATGAGATATTTGACCGTGTGATGTATGTATCACAGCATGAGATATTTGACTGTGTGATGTTTGTGAGACAGGCCGAGATATTTGACAGTGTGACGTATGTGTGACAGGGTGAGACATTTAACAGTGAGGTGTGCGGATGAGAGTATAATGTGTGACAGGCTGAGATATAAATGTGATAATCTACAATGTATATGGCATATATGTAACTGTCTGAGTCTGTATGTTGCAGAGATGTGATAGATGTAACATCCACAGACTCACAGACGATGGAGCAGCATGAGTACCATGACAGAGCAAGGCAATACAGGTAGTCACAATCCCCCCTTTGTATACAGGTAGATCCCCTCTTTGTATACAGGTAGATCTCCCTTTTGTATACAGGTAGACACACACACACACACGCATACACGCCTTTGCATACAGACAGACAACCCCATTTGTATACAGGTTGACACAATCCCCCTTTTCATACAGGTAGACACAATCCCCCTTTGTATACAGGTAGATCTCCTCTTTGTATACAGGTAGATGTATACAGGTAGACACAATCCCCTTTTGTATACAGGTAGATCCCCTCTTTGTATACAGGTAGATCCCCCCCTTTGTATACAGGTAGACACAATCCCCTTTTGTATACAGGTAGATCCCCTCTTTGTATACAGGTAGACACACACACACACACACACCTTTGTATACAGACAGACAACCCCATTTGTATACAGGTTGACACAATCCCCCCTTTTATACAGGTAGACACAATCCCCCTTTGTATACAGATAGACACAATCCCCCTTTGTATACAGGTAGATCCCCCCTTTGTATACAGGTAGATGTATACAGGTAGACACAATCCCCCTTTGTATACACGTAGGTCCCCTCTTTGTTTACAGGTAGATCCCCCCTTTGTATACAGGTAGATGTATACAGGTAGACACAATCCCCCTTTGTATACACATAGGTCCCCTCTTTGTTTACAGGTAGATCCCCTCTTTGTATACAGGTAGATCCCCCCTTTGTATACAGGTAGATGTATACAGGTAGACACAATCCCCTTTTGCATACAGGTAGATCTCCCTTTTGTATACAGGTAGACACACACACACACACACCTTTGTATACAGACAGACAACCCCATTTGTATACAGGTTGACACAATCCCCCCTTTTATACAGGTAGACACAATCCCCCTTTTTATACAGGTAGATCCCCTTTGTATACAGGTAGACACAATCCCCCTTTTCAACAGGTAGACACAACCCCCCTTTGTATACAGGTAGACATAATCCCCCTTTGTATACAGGTTGCCACAATCCCCCTTTGTATACAGGCAGACACAATCCCCCTTTGTATACAGGCAGACACAATCCCCCTTTGTATACAGGCAGACACAATCCCCCTTTGTATACAGGAAGACACAATCCCCCTTTGTAAACAGGTAGACATTATCCCCCTTTGTATAAAGATAGACACAATCCCCCCTTTTTATACAGGTTGACACAATCCCCCTTTTTATACAGGCAGACACAATCCCCCTTTCTATACAGGTAGACACAACCCCCCTTTGTATACAGGTAGACATTATCACCCTTTGTTTAAAGGTAGACACAATCCCTCTTTGTATACAGGTAGACACAATCCCCCTTTTTATACAGGCAGATACTCCCTTTGTATACAGGTAGACATTATCACCCTTTGTTTAAAGGTAGACACAATCCCTCTTTGTATACAGGCAGACACAATCCCCCTTTGTATACAGGTAGACACAAACCCCCTTTGTATACAGGTAGACATTATCCCCCTTTGTATAAAGGTAGACACAATCCCCCCTTTTTATACAGGTTGACACAATCCCCCTTTTTATACAGGCAGACACAATCCCCCTTTCTATACAGGTAGACACAACCCCCCTTTGTATACAGGTAGACATTATCACCCTTTGTTTAAAGGTAGACACAATCCCTCTTTGTATACAGGTAGACACAATCCCCCTTTTTATACAGGCAGATACTCCCTTTGTATACAGGTAGAGACACACACACACACCCTTTGTATACAGACAGCCAACCCCATTTGTATACAGGAAGACACAATCCCCCTTTGTATACAGGTAGACATTATCCCCCTTTGTATACAGGTAGACATAATCCCCCATTGTATACAGGAAGACACAATCCCCCTTTGTATACAGGTAGACATTATCCCCCTTTGTATACAGGTAGACACAATCCCCCTTTGTATACAGGTAGACACAATCCCCCTTTGTATACAGGTAGATACTCCCTTTGTATACAGGTAGACATTATCCCCCTTTGTTTAAAGGTAGACACAATCCCTCATTGTATACAGGTAGACACAATCCCCCTTTTTATACAGGCAGATACTCCCTTTGTATCCAGGTAGACACACACACACACACCCTTTGTATACAGACAGCCAACCCCATTTGTATACAGGAAGACACAATCCCCCTTTGTATACAGGTAGACATTATCCCCCTTTGTATACAGGTAGACATAATCCCCCTTTGTATACAGGTAGACACAATCCCCCTTTGTATACAGGTAGACATTATCCCCCTTTGTATACAGGAAGACACAATCCCCCTTTGTATACAGGTAGACATAATCCCCCTTTGTATACAGGAAGACACAATCCCCCTTTGTATACAGGTAGACATTATCCCCCTTTGTATACAGGTAGACACAATCCCCCTTTGTATACAGGTAGACACAATCCCCCTTTGTATACAGGTAGACACAATCCCCCTTTGTATACAGGTAGACACAATCCCCCTTTGTATACAGGTAGACACAATCCCCCTTTGTATACAGGTAGACACAATCCCCCTTTGTATACAGGTAGACACAATCCCCCTTTGTATACAGGTAGACACAATCCCCCTTTGTATACAGGAAGACACAATCACCCTTTGTATACAGGAAGACACAATCACCCTTTGTATACAGGTAGACATTATCCCCCTTTGTATACAGGTAGACATAATCCCCCTTTGTATACAGGTAGACATAAACCCCCTTTGTATACAGGTAGACATTATCCCCCTTTGTATACAGGTAGATACAATCCCCCTTTGTATACAGGAAGACACAATCCCCCTTTGTATACAGGTAGACATTATCCCCCTTTGTATACAGGTAGACATAATCCCCCTTTGTATACAGGAAGACACAATCACCCTTTGTATACAGGTAGACATTATCCCCCTTTGTATACAGGTAGACATAATCCCCCTTTGTATACAGGTAGACACAATCCCCCTTTGTATACAGGTAGACATTATCCCCCTTTGTATACAGGTAGACACAGTCCTCCTTTGTATACAGGTAGATACGAACCCCATGTGACAGTCTACAGGTAGACAGGTAGATATAAACCAGTTGTAGACAGGTAGATTTGAACCAGTTGTAGACAGGTAGATATGAACCCATTGTTGACAGGTAGATATGAACCCATTGTTGACAGGTAGATTTGAACCTCTCGTTGACAGGTAGATAAGAACCCGTTGTAGACAGGTAGATATGAACCCGTTGTTGACAGGTAGATATGAACCAATTGTTGACAGGTAGATATGAACCTGTTGTTGACAGGTAGATATGAACCCGTTGTTGACAGGTAGATATGAACCCATTGTTGACAGGTAGATATGAACCCGTTGTTGACAGGTAGATATGAACCCATTGTTGACAGGTAGATATGAACCTGTTGTTGACAGGTAGATATGAACCCGTTGTTGACAGGTAGATATGAACCCGTTGTTGACAGGTAGATATGAACCCATTGTTGACAGGTAGATATGAACCCGTTGTTGACAGGTACATATCAACCCGTTGTTGACAGGTAGATATGAATCTGTTGTAGACAGGTAGATATGAACCCATTGTTGACAGGTAGATATGAACCTGTTGTTGACAGGTAGATATGAACCCGTTGTTGACAGGTAGATATGAACCCATTATTGACAGGTAGATATAAACAAGTTGTTGACAGGTAGATATGAGCCTGTTGTAGACAGGTAGATATGAACCCGTTGTAGACAGGTAGATATAAACCAGTTGTTGACAGGTAGATATAAACCAGTTGTTGACAGGTAGATATGAACCAGTTGTAGACAGGTAGATATGAATCTGTTGTAGACAGGTAGATATGAACCAGTTGTTGACAGGTAGATATGAGCCTGTTGTAGACAGGTAGATATGAACCCGTTGTAGACAGGTAGATATAAACCAGTTGTTGACAGGTAGATATAAACCAGTTGTTGACAGGTAGATATAAACCAGTTGTTGACAGGTAGATATGAACCAGTTGTAGACAGGTAGATATGAATCTGTTGTAGACAGGTAGATATGAACCCATTGTAGACAGGTAGATATGAACCCGTTGTTGACAGGTAGATATGAACCCATTGTAGACAGGTGGATATGAACCTATTGTAGACAGGTAGATATGAACCCATTGTAGACAGGTAGATATGAACCTGTTGTAGACAGGTAGATATGAATGCATTGTAGACAGGTGGATATGAACCAGTTGTAGACAGGTAGATATGAACCAATTGTAGACAGGTAGATATGAACCCGTTGTTGACAGGTAGATATGAACCCATTGTTGACAGGTAGATATGAACCAGTTGTAGACAGGTAGATATGAACCTGTTGTAGACAGGTAGATATGAACCTGTTGTAGACAGGTAGATATGAACCCATTGTTGACAGGTAGATATGAACCTGTTGTTGACAGGTAGATATAAACCAGTTGTTGACAGGTAGATATAAACCAGTTGTTGACAGGTAAATATGAACCAGTTGTAGACAGGTAGATATGAATCTGTTGTAGACAGGTAGATATGAACCCATTGTAGACAGGTAGATATGAACCCGTTGTTGACAGGTAGATATGAACCCATTGTTGACAGGTAGATATGAACCAGTTGTAGACAGGTAGATATGAACCTGTTGTAGACAGGTAGATATGAACCCATTGTTGACAGGTAGATATGAACCTGTTGTAGACAGGTAGATATGAACCAATTGTAGACAGGTAGATATGAACCCGTTGTTGACAGGTAGATATGAATCTGTTGTAGACAGGTAGATATGAACCAATTGTAGACAGGTAGATATGAACCCGTTGTTGACAGGTAGATATGAACCCATTGTTGACAGGTAGATATGAACCAGTTGTAGACAGGTAGATATGAACCTGTTGTAGACAGGTAGATATGAACCCATTGTTGACAGGTAGATATGAACCTGTTGTAGACAGGTAGATATGAAGCTCTTGTGACAGTTTACGTACAGGTTGATACGTAACTCAATGCAAGGCAAGGCAATGCATTACATACGAACACTGTTAAAGGCAGTAAACCTAAGGGATTCCAGGTTTAGATGGTAACCTGTACTGAAATTGATTGTGTGGTGTGTAATTGTGACTTTGTTGATTACATTACTGTGATATCCAGGACTGGTTGGTCTGATCCACATACAGTTAGTTACAGTCGTGATATCAGCTAATCTGCCCCAGAATCTCCAACATGGACATTGTGTGATGGGAAGTGTCCAACACAAATATGGACAGATATTGTGTGCTTAGGACAGACGATGTGTGGCTAGTAGTACTGGAAGGTTCTTTGTGTTCGAGCTGATCAGTCCTTGTGTTTTCTCTTTGTCTGCAGCAATCGCCTGAATATGGTGATGAGTGGCCATGGACGATCTAAGTTATACCGTCCATCACTGCCCAACGGGATTTCAGCCCCACAGATGGTGCTGGCTGCCCCTCCAGTTACCCTAGCAGACATACAGATGGTAAGTGTAGGATGGTGTCACATGGTGCTGACTGTCCCTCCAGTTACACTAGCAGACATACAGATGGTGACTGTAGGATGGTGTCACATGGTGCTGGCTGCCCCTCCAGTTACACTAGCAGACATACAGATGGTAAGTGTAGGATGGTGTCACATGGTGCTGACTGTCCCTCCAGTTACACTAGCAGACATACAGATGGTGACTGTAGGATGGTGTCACATGGTGCTGGCTGCCCCTCCAGTTACACTAGGAGACAGACAGATGGTGAGTGGATGGTGTCACATGGTGCTGGATGCCCCTCCAGTTACCCTAGCAGACATACAGATGGTGAGTGGATGGTGGTGTCACATGGTGCTGGCTGCCCCTCCAGTTACACTAGCAGACAGACAGATGGTGAGTGGATGATGGTGTCACATGGTGCTGGCTGCCCCTCCAGTTACACTAGCAGACATACAGATGGTGAGTGGATGATGGTGTCACATGGTGCTGGATGCCCCTCCAGTTACCCTAGCAGACATACAGATGGTGAGTGGATGGTGGTGTCACATGGTGCTGGCTGCCCCTCCAGTTACCCTAGCAGACATACAGATGGTGAGTGGATGATGGTGTCACATGGTGCTGGATGCCCCTCCAGTTACACTAGCAGACATACAGATGGTAAGTGTAGGATGGTGTCACATGGTGCTGACTGTCCCTCCAGTTACACTAGCAGACATACAGATGGTGACTGTAGGATGGTGTCACATGGTGCTGGCTGCCCCTCCAGTTACACTAGCAGACATACAGATGGTAAGTGTAGGATGGTGTCACATGGTGCTGACTGTCCCTCCAGTTACACTAGCAGACATACAGATGGTAAGTGTAGGATGGTGTCACATGGTGCTGACTGCCCATCCAGTAACCCTAGCAGACATACAGATGGTAAGTGGATGGTGTCACATGGTGCTGACTGCCCCTCCAGTTACACTAGCAGACAGACAGATGGTGAGTGGATGATGGTGTCACATGGTGCTGGCCGCCCCTCCAGTTACCATAGCAGACATACAGATGGTAAGTGGATGATGGCGTCACATGGTGCTGACTGCCCCTCCAGTTACCCTAGCAGACATACAGATGGTAAGTGTAGGATGGTGTCACATGGTGCTGGATGCCCCTCCAGTTACCCTAGCAGACATACAGATGGTAAGTGGATGATGGCGTCACATGGTGCTGACTGCCCCTCCAGTTACACTAGCAGACATACAGATGGTGAGTGGATGATGGTGTCACATGGTGCTGGATGCCCCTCCAGTTACACTAGCAGACATACAGATGGTGACTGTAGGATGGTGTCACATGGTGCTGGCTGCCCCTCCAGTTACCCTAGCAGACATACAGATGGTGAGTGGATGGTGGTGTCACATGTTGCTGGCTTTAAGTTGGAGCTTGTTCTGCCGAATGTAATTGTAAGCAGGTACTATAGTGTTGAGGTTGTGTTTCAGATAACGAGTGTGGCAGCCAAGGCCGCCAAGGCGCTGAAAGACGTGAAGATCCAACACAGAGAGGACCTGGTGGTGGCATTCGGCGTTCCATGATTCTGTTGCCGACCAACTTCATCGCGACACAGTTGCCCATTTAATTTGTAATCATTCTCTGGCTTTGTGTCAAGCCAGTGTGTATACAGCAGCATCTGCAGCTTCCACATCATCATCATCATCCACAGCAACATCATGATCCTAATCATTCCACACCAGTACTCTCCTGTCACCTTGTTCCAGGTCTGGAGTAGTGTTATCTATACAGGCACAAGCTTCTCTGTGCTAGCATGTTTGCTTTGATGACTAAAGTGACATGCTTGCTGTGGTTGTTACTTGCAGTGCTACGTGATGTTTAGGAGGATGTTCTGTGTGAGCTGCTGGTTGACAACCTTGTGTAATGAATTACATCTGAATCTTGTTGATTGATGAAATACTCAGTTCCTACATGGCACAACTTGGTACGGTGAGGTGGGTGGTATGGTGAGGCAGGTGGTATGGTGAGGCGGGTGGTGTAAGTGTGGAGATATGTGAGAGCTTGATAGGGTGGGTTGAGTGGGTGGTACAGCTTGGTAGGGTGATGTAAGTGTGGGATGGGTGGGGTGGGTGGGTGTCAGAGCTTGATAGGGTGGGTTGAGTGGGTGGTACAGCTTGGTAGGGTGATGTAAGTGTGGGGATGGGTGGGGTGGGTGGCTGTCAGAGCTTGATAGGGTGGGTTGAGTGGGTGGTACAGCTTGGTAGGGTGATGTAAGTGTGGGGGTGGGTGGGGTGGGTGGCTGTCAGAGCTTGATAGGGTGGGTTGAGTGGGTGGTACAGCTTGGTAGGGTGATGTAAGTGTGGGGGTGGGTGGGGTGAGTGGCTGTCAGAGCTTGATAGGGTGGGTTGAGTGGGTGGTACAGCTTGGTAGGGTGATGTAAGTGTGGGGGTGGGTGGCTGTCAGAGCTTGATAGGGTGGGTTGAGTGGGTGGTACAGCTTGGTAGGGTGATGTAAGTGTGGGGGTGGGTGGGGTGAGTGGCTGTCAGAGCTTGATAGGGTGGGTTGAGTGGGTGGTACAGCTTGGTAGGGTGATGTAAGTGTGGGGGTGGGTGGGGTGAGTGGCTGTCAGAGCTTGATAGGGTGGGTTGAGTGGGTGGTACAGCTTGGTAGGGTGATGTAAGTGTGGGGGTGGGTGGCTGTCAGAGCTTGATAGGGTGGGTTGAGTGGGTGGTACAGCTTGGTAGGGTGATGTAAGTGTGGGATGGGTGGGGTGGGTGGGTGTCAGAGCTTGATAGGGTGGGTTGAGTGGGTGGTACAGCTTGGTAGGGTGATGTAAGTGTGGGGATGGGTGGGGTGGGTGGCTGTCAGAGCTTGATAGGGTGGGTTGAGTGGGTGGTACAGCTTGGTAGGGTGATGTAAGTGTGGGGGTGGGTGGGGTGGGTGGCTGTCAGAGCTTGATAGGGTGGGTTGAGTGGGTGGTACAGCTTGGTAGGGTGATGTAAGTGTGGGGGTGGGTGGGGTGAGTGGCTGTCAGAGCTTGATAGGGTGGGTTGAGTGGGTGGTACAGCTTGGTAGGGTGATGTAAGTGTGGGGGTGGGTGGCTGTCAGAGCTTGATAGGGTGGGTTGAGTGGGTGGTACAGCTTGGTAGGGTGATGTAAGTGTGGGGGTGGGTGGGGTGAGTGGCTGTCAGAGCTTGATAGGGTGGGTTGAGTGGGTGGTACAGCTTGGTAGGGTGATGTAAGTGTGGGGGTGGGTGGGGTGAGTGGCTGTCAGAGCTTGATAGGGTGGGTTGAGTGGGTGGTACAGCTTGGTAGGGTGATGTAAGTGTGGGGATGGGTGGCTGTCAGAGCTTGATAGGGTGGGTTGAGTGGGTGGTACAGCTTGGTAGGGTGATGTAAGTGTGGGGGTGGGTGGGGTGAGTGGCTGTCAGAGCTTAATAGGGTGGGTTGAATGGGTGGTACAGCTTGGTAGGGTGATGTAAGTGTGGGGGTGAGTATCTTGAAGACTGGTTGAGTTGTTGATGTAACAAGATATTTAATTGATGCATGATATGTGTAAATAATGGGATGTAGATTGTACATACAATAACTAAGTGCTACTGAGGAACTAGCTTCTGTTGTTTTGAAGACAGACCTGATCCATGATGAGTTGAAACAGTGGGAAGTGTTTGTATTTTGTTCCATTTTCTCTAGTACAGAAAAAATGTGATGTGATTTCGTTAAGCCTTTAAGTGTATCTATCACACTGAGAGTGCTATTCATCAATGTAACCATGGTAACTGAATCTCAGTTTGGGGACTTTTTGCCTGTGATTTCTTAACAGCTTCATCAGTGCATGAATAGCATTCTCTGGAAAGTGCCGACTTGCCATTCCTCTACCCTTTGGTATTTTTTGATAGTTCAGTACTGAATCATAATTAGGATTGGTGGACCCTTGATAAGAATAAAACCAAGAAAGTGTAGTCTGAGGTGTTCCTTAATCCAGTGTCTGGTTCTGAGGTGTGGGTTAGGGGCTGAGAAAACACAGGTAGGGGCAGGTGTTTATATGCTTAGGTGCATCCAGAAGTGGGGTCCAGAAGGGGATTGTGGTCCAGCGGGTCTGGATCATTCCACCCCCTCCCCCCTTTGAAAACCGATAACTTAACATAGACTTACAACAGTCATAGCGCTAAGGTTGTTTTGTACAGCGACACCCTGGTCTGTGTCCTCCTTGTCTGCAAGACTCTATCTAGTGTGAAGCTGTGAAGCTTAAATGGAGCTGTGTCCCATAGCCGCCATTATCATGTCAGCAGGGTATGTAGTGCAGAAACACAGGACTGATGAAGTTGATACGTGTCCCAACTCTGCTGCGTTATTCACAAGTCAGCTTCGGGCTCCCAACCCCTGCTACAAATACTCATGTATCCTTGACCTTTGTGCATGCTAATGGTCGTGTGGTGTATAAGGATGATTTCTATATGTTCATCCATCATTGCAGGTGTTCCCTCTGCTCCTCCTTGATGTAAGCTGTGATTAAACCCATGTACAGAATTATAAACCATGTGTTTGTGCTGTTTCCTGATAAATAACCAACAGTTGCCCACGTGAAGTGTACAGATATATTGATATACTGTTCAAAAGGGTGTTAAACACAACACTTATATTATTTGTTTTCCTTGTAGTTTGTGTACTGCCAGACTGAGAATGATATGAGTGGATAGAGCCACCCCTGTTGACAGTTGCATGACTTTCAACCTTGATATCATATAGTATTGTGTCCTTGCAGCTGCATCTCAACAGTATCACACCGAGAGTTAACCACTTGGGTCTTGACACACCAACCCTGATGCCGAGAGTTAACCACTTAGGTCTTGACACACTAACCCTGATGCTGAGAGTTAACCACTTAGGTCTTCATGCAGAGAGTTAACCACTTAGGTCTTGACACACCAACCCTGATGCTGAGAGTTAACCACTTAGGTCTTGACACACCAACCCTGATGCCGAGAGTTAACCACTTAGGTCTTGACACACTAACCCTGATGCTGAGAGTTAACCACTTAGGTCTTGACACACTAACCCTCATGCTGAGAGTTAACCACTTAGGTCTTGACACACCAACCCTGATGCCGAGAGTTAACCACTTAGGTCTTGACACACCAACCCTGATGCCGAGAGTTAACCACTTAGGTCTTGACACACTAACCCTGATGATTCACTATCCCACAATGCCACTCACAAATCACTAACCACTGACAAATCACATGCACGTGGGTTTCAAGCACCTGTTTTCACCTGTCGTCAAGGTGTCATAGGTCATTCACCTTGATCTACTTACACCTGGTTATGCTCAGTTTCGCAATAGTCTGTTTTGTTCATATTTTTACACACTTTTACATGTAAAAAGACATAAAAACCTTTGATACGCTGTATTTGTGCCAAAGTCCAATTAGTACTAATTGAGTTGTTTGAATATTTATATATTTTGTATATTAACTGCATTTATTTAAAATCTGAGATCGAAAAAACAATTTTTTCATTTCCGTGAGTACTTTAGGTCTTGATGCTAAGTTAACCACTTAGGTCTTGACAAGCTAACCCTGATGCAGAGAGTTAACCACTTCGGTCTTGACATGCTAACCCTGATGCCGAGAGTTAACCACTTCGGTCTTGATGCAGAGAGTTAACCACTTCGGTCTTGACATGGTAACCCTGATGCCGAGAGTTAACCACTTCGGTCTTGATGCAGAGAGTTAACCACTTCGGTCTTGATGCAGAGAGTTAACCACTTCGGTCTTGACATGCTAACCCTGATGCCGAGAGTTAACCACTTCGGTCTTGATGCAGAGAGTTAACCACTTCGGTCTTGATGCAGAGAGTTAACCACTTCGGTCTTGATGCAGAGAGTTAACCACTTAGGTCTTGATGCAGAGAGTTAACCACTTAGGTCTTGACACACCAACCCTGATGCCGAGAGTAAACTACTTCTGTCTTGATGCAGAGAGTTAACCACTTCGGTCTTGACATGCTAACCCTGATGCCGAGAGTTAACCACTTCGGTCTTCTTGCAGAGAGTTAACCACTTCGGTCTTGATGCAGAGAGTTAACCACTTAGGTCTTGATGCAGAGAGTTAACCACTTAGGTCTTGACACACCAACCCTGATGCCGAGAGTAAACTACCTTGGTCTTGATGCAGAGAGTTAACCACTTCGGTCTTGATGCAGAGAGTTAACCACTTTGGTCTTGATGCAGAGAGTTAACCACTTAGGTCTTGATGCAGAGAGTTAACCACTTAGGTCTTGATGCAGAGAGTTAACCACTTAGGTCTTGATGCAGAGAGTTAACCACTTAGGTCTTGACACACCAACCCTGATGCCGAGAGTTAACTACTAAGGTCTTGACACACTAACTGTTGCGCAGTGGAATTTTAACTATTAACCAAAGTGACAGATGTACGTCCTATCGCGACGACATCTCAAACCAAAGTGACGAACATGCGTCACATCGAGCCGAATTATCAAAACAAAATTACAGATGTACGTCCTATCACGACGACATCTCAAGCCAAAAGTGACGTTAACTCAAGCAAATCCGATCTCCTCGCTCCGCACGTGCTCGGACAGCCCGTGCGCTGCAATACTTTTTTCCGCGAATCAAAATGCATTTCCGCTATCTGTTCCCTCTTTGGCATGTCTTCAAACCATACCCCCTTCCATGATTGACTTCTGTCAATCATAGATTGAAAACTATTATCCTGAAAGCTAATCAAGACCATTTGTTTCACTCGAAGAAGCCCATTCAAGTGGACATACTTTGTTTGCTGGTCTTTTCACTACTGACTGTCTTGTCTTAATATCAACGACACGAACATGGCCATCTTTTCCTGGATAGACCTTCAATATTCTGCCAAGTTGCCAATTTCCACGAGGCGTGTCGGGAGATATTACTAAGACAACATCTCCAACTTGTAAATCCCTCTGAGGAGTGTGCCATTTTCTGCTGGTGTTGAGGCTTGGTAGCCATTCTCTCATCCACCGGTGCCAAAAGTGACGAACCAATTCTTGAATTCTTCTCCACCGTTTGCGTGGATTGAATTCTATTGTGTCAACTGTGTCAGGTGCGAACACGCCACCAATCTG